AGGGAAGGAGAAGAGGCAAAACATTTGGTCAATCAGTCTTATTGAACAGAAGTGCAGTTTCTTACCACACTGCCCTCCCCTACCCCCACCCAAGATTCTATATACCCAGATAACTCATTTTTTTAAAAATATATTTTATTGATTTTTTACAGAGAGGAAAGGAGAGAGATAGAGAGCTAGAAACATCGATGAGAGAGAAACATCGATCAGCTGCCTCCTGCACATCTCCCACTGGGGATGTGCCCGTAAAACATTTGGTCAATCAGTCTAATTGAAGAGAAGTGCAGTTTCTTACCACACTGCCCTCCCCACTGAGCCAAACCGGTTTCGGCAACTCATTTTTTTCTGAAGGCAGCTCATTGTCCAGTGCTCACGGAGCTTACCCTGAGCCTAGCCCTGTGCCAGGAACTCCTGGCTTACAAGATCCTGGCTGGCCTGTGCCTTGCTGCCTTAAGGACTTGATGGAGGCCAGGAGAAAAGAATTTACATGAAGAAACAAAGAGCAGATAACACTAGAAGTGATCTCCCCAGTCGGCAAAGCACTTGACCAATGTCAGAGAGCTTTTATATCCACAATCGCACTTCACAGCAGCAAACAATCACTGGGTAGGTTGGTTGGTGCTGACCATGACGTCAAAATCAGGGCACGGATCTCTCCCAACAGGGCAGCATAGTTGACATCAGAATTGTGAAGTCTCACATGCATGACAGTTGTAGTTTCTTACTGGGCTCCTTTGTCTGTAGGGCCAATGGAAGCTTCCTATGCCAGGGGAGATGGAAGTGGAGCCTCAGATTGGCACGGAAGGGAGGAAAGAATAGAGAAAGGGCGCCCCGGGAGTAAGAGGGGGTGGGGCGGGTGGCTTCCTTCCAAGTGATTTACTGGGTCTAGTTTTTCCTCTTCCTCCTCCCACCTAGATCCAAGTTTGGAATAAAGAAAGCTGCTTCTTTGAGAACATTTGCCAGTGCGCAGCTTGGCTTAAGAATAGAGGCTGAGCCCTAGCCGGTTTGGTTAGAGCATCGGCCTGTGGACTGAAGGGTCCCAGGTTCGATTCCAGTCAAGGGCACATGCCCAGGTTGCAGGCTCAATCAGCAGTAGGGGGGCGTGCAGGAGGCAGCTGATCAATGATTCTCTCTCATCATTGATGTTTCCATCTCTCTCTCCCTCTCCCTTCCTCTCTGAAATCAATAAAAATATATTTTAAAAAAGTAGAGGCTGAACACCTAGTGGGGGTTTTTCCTAAAGTGCCGAACCGAAGTCTATTGCATTGCCTGAGTTGGAAAGTGAAATTTACTTATGAATTTATTTCTGGTGCAGCTTCAGCTGCAGAAATAGTGATAATTCAAGGATTTGGATTGCATTCTGGGATAGAATCTATGGAGGGTACCAAGGCAGAGGAAGGGGCAACAACCAGTGTGCGTTGAAGTCTAGGCAATGCGTTGGGCTCATCTGTACCTTGGTGCCTTGAAGCAGTTGGATGGAACCAGAGAGAAACCAAGATGGAGGAAGGATTTGGGGTAGACCAGTTGGGCCCCAGAATGCCTTGCAGAAGGCTGGCTGGGGTCTGAGTGCCTCGGGGTGCACAGAATTGGATTGTTTAGCTGGAAGTCCCCACTCCAGCTTCAGTAGCCCCAGCAGCCCGCAGCCCCGCCTCAGAGAGATTTGCTATCACTGACTCCAGCAGCCTTAAGCTCTCCTTTGTACTGAGTCACTGAGAGCCTCCCCAGTTGCCATGCCCTCCGCTCTACTAAGAAGAGTGGGATTTGGGCCACATGACTTTACTGTCACATGATTGACATATAGCCTTTGAGTGATGAAGGAGACCCCTCCTCACCAAGTCAGAACTGCCTGGGGGCAGGAGAGAGGAATTCCCCATTCCCTGTAGTTGTGAATCAGAGCCCCATGTGCTGAAACATACATCCCACTGCCTGAAACTCACACTCAGGAGTGAGTCAGCATTGCCCCATCTGATGGACAGACAATGGAAACATCCCAGGCTCAAGCCACACTGCGGACGTCTGAATCCCAAGAGAGTTCTTCAAGAACATAAAAGAACTGATTTCTCCAGAGCCTTGGAGAGGGTCATTCCCTCGACCAAGCCAGATCTTACCATTCAAAGAGTCAGGCAGTTCCTTCTGATCTCTACCTTAGTTCCTCCTGCTTTCTCCCTTTTCATTGGCTCTTCTGTAGAGTGACACAAGTCTTGGGACTTAGTTTTGTTCCATATAGTATCCAAAATGCCTACATACATGGTGATTTAAAAAAATTAACAACCAGTGCAGTTCTAATCAGAATAGACTCTGGCTGGGGTGCTGAGCCAGGTCCAAGTGGAAACAGCCCTGGGTTTGGGTTCTAGTCTTGGCTTTGTAGCTAATTTGCTATCTGACCTTGAGCAAATCACTTGACCTCTCTGGGCCTCAGTTTTCTCACCTATAAAATGGGGGGATTTGGACTAGAGGTTGCAAATGCCTACAGGGTCAGGCAATGAAAGTAAATGAGTGAAGCCAATAGGGTGGGGTTGTGCCAACTGTAATGTGTAGGCCCCTGTACATGGGCAGCCATTGCCCGGTGGAACTGCGGGCCCAAGGTGTTGAGAGCATTTGATTCTTCAAGAGCTGCCGAGAATCCAGATGCTTATGTGAAGTTTCCTGGTGTGTAAAATACTGTGTGGGTCAAACAAATATCTCTAAGCCAGTTTCACCCTCAGACTAGAGGATTGGAAGGGCTCTCCCAGCTTGAATTTTCTGATTCTAAAATATGAGTCTTCTAAAGGTCTTCAAGAAATCACCTTAGTTGTGGAGATTTCAGCTAGTGCAAAAGTAAATGCCTGCCTGTGGGCTTATACTTTTACTAGAGGCCAGAAAATGAAATTCCTGCAAGAGTAGGCCTTCCTTCCCCTGGCTGCTGGCACCGGCTTCCCTCTGACACCCGGGACCCGGGCTTCCCCCCTGGCTTCGTCTGGAAGGTCATATGGAAGGACGTCCAGTCTAATTAGCATATTACACTTTTATTATACTTTTATGCCATTGGGCTTTTTAATTTATTTTGTTTTGTTAATCCTCGCCCGAGGACATTTCCCCATTGATTTTTAGAGATAGTGGAAGGGACGGGAAGAGAAAGAGAGCTGATAGAGACACATTTATTGGTTGCCTCCTGGAAACACCCAACCAGGGCCGGGGATTGAGCTTGCAACTGAGGTCCGTGCTCTTGACCAGAATAGAACTGGGACCCTTCAGTCCAAAGGTTGACGCTCTACCCACTGAGCCAAACAGGCTAGGGTGCGATTGGGCGTTTATCTCCCCTTAAATGACACCCTGCTGGTGGTCCCCTCTGATCTTTACACACACCTGCAGTGGACGGTTTGCTTGGTCTCTGGAGCCTAGCCTTGAGCTATAAGGTCGATGCTGCTTGTCCAGTGAGCTCATCAGCCATAAAGATCTGGGTGTGCTGATGTGATAGCCCCTCCCCTGCATGAAGGCAGAGTTGGTCAGGCAGCGGCTGGCTGAGGCAGGCTTGGGGCTTGCTGTCTTCCTAGGCTTTTGTTGGCGATGTCCCTAAGCTTAATTGGGACTGGAAATCAAGTCCACATTATTAAGAATCTGGAGCTCTCCAACCTACCCGCATTAGTTTGCTAGATCTACTGAACCAACATACCAGAGACTGGGTGGCTTAAACAACAGAAACTTACTCTCTCCCAGTTCCTGAGGCTAGAAGCTCAAAATCAAAGTGTCTGTAAGGCTGGTTCCTTCTGAGGGCTTTGAGGGAAGGATCTGTTCCAGGCCTCTCCTTGGTTTGTAGATGCTATCTTCTCCCCGTGCCTGTCTCTATGTCCAAATTTCCCTTTTTTATAAGGACCAGTCATGTTTGAGCAGAATCCACCCTACGCACCCCATTTTAACTTGATTAGCTCTGTAAGGACCCTATCTCCAAGTAAGGTCACATCCTGAGGTACTGGAGGTTACGGGACTTCAACATTTGAATTTAGGGGGACACTATTCAACCATAATACTCCTTCTCCATGGCCTCTCACTCAGTGCTTTAAACTCCAACACTTAACTACTCTGCTTATGCCCATTCTTACTGATGACAGCTCAGTGCAGCTGGGGTCTCGTGCCCTGGTGCACAGCTCACTGTAAGCATGTATTCTGTCCGGACTGGCGATCTCTCCTCAAGTGCCTGTTATGGGATATACGGGCCTTGAATTTCAGGCAATAACCGGAGATGTCATCTTGTTCTGTGAGGCACTGCCTGCATGGTACTTTTTATCCTTATACACTGATAAAAAATGGCAAGTGCCAACGACTGTTGCAATCACTTTATATTAAGTAACTTACTGAATCCCCACAATACCCCTTTGAGCAGGGAGCTATGATCAGAAACCGGGGTCCAGAGAGCTTAGAAACTTTCCCAAGTCTGTAGTAACCGAAGGAGTTGGGGTTTGAATCCCAATACTTTGAAATGAGATAAACAATTGGGGTGCGAATCTCCAGATGCCATGCTTTTCATCTTTACGGGAGAGTGACCGAATAGATGAGGAAACTGAAACGCAGTAACTCTGCCAAGGTCACCCAGGTAAGAGGCGGAGTCAAGGCGGAATTCCTGCTCTGCAAGCCACAGGGCTTCCCCCAGAAGAGACCCAGGGTCCCTTCCCCATAGCCTGCTTCCACAGGCCCACGGCTAGCCGGGCCACCCAGAATCGCTAAACCTTTATCTGGGGTTAACAGTCTCCACACAGCAGGGTAATTATGGGGCATGAAGGGGGGGTGGCACCCTCTAGTCTTAGATCTGACCTCCCCGTCGCTTCCAGTTCCTGGACCACCAGCCCCGACACAAGGTGTGAGCCTGCATCTGCACCTTTTCTCAGGGGGGTGGTCAGAAGCGGGGCGGGGCCGCCCGGAGCACAGTGGTTCATATTTCTCGCAACCCGCCAATCCTGAGCTCAGGGGGCGTGGCCACACCTGGGGGGCGTGGCCAGGTGGCGGTGGTGGCGGTGGCGTCTGGGGTGAGGCGCTGACGTGAGCTGGGCGCACCTGGGCGGAGCAGGTAAGCGCCAGTGCGGGACCGTGAGCGGAGCCCGCACTCCCTACCTGCGCAGAGCCGGGTGTTACCTGCCCAACCTGTCGAGGCGCGCGGTGGCGACTGGAGATCTCAGCTGGGGACATGGTTCGGAGGGACGTCCGCTTCTGGTAGCCGATTGAGGAAAGGTGGGGGCGCCAGCTTCTGGAGGCCAATCTGGGGGTGGGGGTGGTTGGGAGGGACACGCCGCTGGGGGAGAAAGGCCCGCTCCTGAGTTTGTGGGGTTAGAAAAACTTGGGGACATCTGTCTTTTTTGGGGGGACACCCTGTGGTGTTGACTGTCGCCCTTCTCCAGGTAGCTTTTGGGGTGCCCCAGCCCCGCAGTGCTGGGCCCTGCCGACCCCACACTCCGTCGACTCCCTTTCCCTCCCCGCCCAACCCGCTCTCGGCTCCTACCACCCACCGTCGGATGGAGCTGAGGAGCCTCCACCCTTTGCAGGCTCTCGGGGCCGCCGGCCTCTGTATTTCCCAAGAGGGGAATTCCCAGGCCCTCGGGCCTTTCGGGGCTGGTGGGTGTTTGGGGGAGTTGGTGGAGGGGGAGGCCAAGAGCTTTAGCCAGTTTGTTTTCTTTCCCTGGATTTGTTTAGCACAGTCCGGCCCCCGCCCTGGGAGACACCAGTGGATTTCCAAGTAGACAAGCGAGGTGCTGGGAGGGTGGCGCCGGGCGTGGCTGCTGGGGGTGAGGCCTCTTCCCGTCGGGGCTGGAGGGCTGGTGGTGTGGAGAAATGTGGAAAGTCTCCCCGGCCTGGCTGGAAGGGAGGCCTGGGGTGCCACACTTTACAGGGAGCCTGCTTGGTGGTAAAGGGGTCATCCCTGCCCCAACCCTGCTCTTGATGGATGTCAAAAGTGGAAGCCTGGGAAGGGAGAGGGAGAAGGCGCTTGAGTCCGCTGGTGAAGGCGGGTGGGGAGCCAGGATAGTCCTCTAGGGTTAAACATATGCCTAACGAAGGCACGACAGCAGCACCCAGTACCCTGCACTTCCCGCTCCGCCGGCCCCCAAATTCAATCCAGCAGAGAAGAAGGGCACGGGAATTATGGGTATCGACCCAGGATTTACCCCTGAGCAGGGCTGAACTAAAGGGAGGACTGACTGGGAACCTGGAAGTTGGTATTTCAGTTCCCTCCGGAAGGAAGGGAAAAAACAGGACCACAACTGAGGCCTGTCTGCAAGAAATAGCAGTGTGTTTTATTCTGCGGAAAACCTTTGACAGCCAAATCTCAGCGTTGGGGTAGCTGTGCCCCCCCCCCCCCAAACTTGTCTGGGCAGGAGCTGCAGAGATGGCAGTGGGGTGTTTATAGAGGACCTGCCCCCTGGAATGGGGGTATGAGAGAGCATGGTTAGTGCCTGGGAGAGGTTGAAAATGTGCCTGCTCAATGCCCAGTATGAAGGGAGGGGGTAGGTTAGCATCTTTGCTCTTTGGCTGGTTAAATACATGTTGGAGACACAGGCCTTGAATTTCGCTGTGATGGCAGCTAGAGATACCAGGGCTGAGTTCAACTAGGCCGAGGTGGTTCTGTGGGCTTTGGGATTTGGGTGGTGAGGGTGTTTGGAAAGAGAACTCTGATTTAGGTGTGTTTGAAGGGGGGTGTCATGCAGTCTTCTCCCCGCCACTTCATTGGCCCTCCATGCTGTTGGCATCTTTGTTGGTGTTTTTGGTTTACGCTCTCAGTGTGTAGAACAGTGGTTCTCAACCTTCTGGCCCTTTAAATACAGTTCCTCAGGTTGTGACCCAACCATAAAATTATTTTCGTTGCTACTTCATAACTGTAATGTTGCTACTGTTATGAACCGTAATGTAAATATCTGATATGCAGGATGGTCTTAGGCGACCCCTGTGAAAGGGAACCGCTGGTGTAGAAGAAGGGAGAGATTTGGATGGCGGGGTGCAGTGGCAGGACTTGGGACAGCACACTGATTCAGGAGTGCTGGATCGAGGCCCCAGATAAAGCACTTCACTTTTCTGTGTCTCAGTTAACACAGCTACAAATGGGGATGAGAATTATACCACTTCCAGATCATGAGGATGGAATCAGACACATTAAGTAAAAATACATGTAAAAACTGTAAAGCCTGAGTAGATATAAAGGGTTGTTGTCACCATGGTCTCATCAGTTGAAGGCCATCATCTTCTATACCAGTGGTTCCCAACGTGAGGCACATGCCCCACGGGGGGGGGGGGGGGGGGGGGGGCAATTTGATTTTGATTTTTAAGGGGGGAAATTTGAGAATGAGTTATTAACAGTGAATTTTTTGCATTTCTTATGGTTCTAGGGGCCTCAAATACAGTATATAAATATATATTGTGACATATTTATGCATTTCCGTTCTCTATTATATGTTTTGAAACTTTATTTGCTACTTTTTCATATCACTTCATATTATTATTATTTTTTAACAATTTCTTCCTCAGTACTTCACCTGTCCTTTTGTTCATTTTTCTCTTTCATGGATGCCATGTTCTTTGGAAGCTTGTTTAGACCAAGTTAATGGCCCTTCAGGCTTCCTCCATGTGAATAGGACTTCACTTTTTGAATAGTAAGAATTATATGTCATGGGGGTGGGGGGCATCAGGATTTTAGAGATGCTTAGGAGGGGCATGGCCAAAAAAAGGTTGGGAACCACTGTTCTATACCTTACAGTGGCCAAGAAATGTCTTAGCTTCCTGTGGTTAAAAAAAAAAATACTACTTGTAGTTTTTAAAAAAAATAATAAATTGAAACATGTCATTGCAGGAAAAGATGAATCATATATAAAAGTATATAGGCAAGTATAAAATTCACTCATGATCCTATCACCAGGTAACCATTGCGAATGTCTTGTTGCATTGGTGTATTCTTTCATTCCCTTTTTAAAATTCTGTGTGCGTGTATACGGATCCACGTGCATGTTGTTACAGGATGGAGATACTCCTGAGCAATCAATATGATATGCTGCATTTTCTCCCTTAACTTCATATTGTAAACCTTTTCCCGAATCCAATAAAAATTATTCAGATGCCCCGTTGTTAATAGCTGCTTAATATTGCAGCCTGTGAACATGTAATTAGCCATTCTCCTCTGTTATTTGGTTGCTTCCATTTTTCCCCTCTCTACCTGTTTTTAGAGTCTTAGTTACTGGGTGGCAGATGGGGGAGATCTTGGCCGACTTTCAGAAGGTGGAGGAGAGCAGGCTGGGGCGGGTTGCTCTGGGTACGGCCATCTCGGGAGAACGCTGAGAACCAGGGCTCGAGATCTTAATCATCGGTCTCTATGGGTGGCTGCTTCTCCTTCCCCATCGCTATGTGCAGTTCCTTGTGTTGACCTGGTTGCCTTAATTTTTTCTTCATGGGCTGTGGATCAACTAGAATAAACACTTTTCTTCAAAGTCCAGGATCCATCAACAGGTTGATTTTATGTGTCAGACAGGCCCAGACACAGGACTTGGATGCATTGCAATATAAATTCTCAAAAGCCCCTCGCTAGGTTGACTGGTTGGCTGCCCATTTTTCTATTCTTTTCATCCTTCCCTTGCCCCTCCCCCTCCCAGTAGGCTAGGACTGAGGAGGAGAAGGTAGAACTCGCCCTTGGGAGAATGTGTTTCCTCCTCCTTATAAGGTAATGGTCTCGGGGCTTTGATGGCTTGTGTTGCTGCCCTGCAAAACAACCTAAACCAAGGCCAAGACCAGGGGGGTGGGGGTACTTGAATTCTGCATGCCAACCAACCTCACCTACCCACTGAGCTGTGCTCCCCAGGGGGAAGGTTTCAGTTGCAGGAGATGGTAATTGGGTCAGAAGGCTCAGGTAAGAGCAGGTCTTGCCTTGCTCTTAAAGTGCCAGGCTGAGTTGGCTTTGGGTTTTCCCCATTGGATGGAAGGCTAGCCCCTCAGCTAATGCCTCTGAATGGGAGCCTTTCGCTGACTCAACTGATTTGGTTTCTGAACTGTGATCCAGGTAGGGGTCTTTCTGGGTATGAAGGTGACTTATTTGTCTTCCTTTCCTCCTCAGGTCTTTATGGGGCTTGAGCACTTCTAATGTGGATTTCTTCAGGAAGGAGTCTGATGAAAACATTGCGCTTTAGCGCTTAGTAACTAGCATAGTGCTTGACACTCAGTAGCTGATGACCAACTCTTTGTTGAATGAATGTTATTTTTTAGGTGTTTCTTTCTTACCTTAAGTAAAAACAAAGTAAAATAAGAACACCAAAAAAAATAAATAATAAAAATCTAAGCACAACATTCCAGGCAAACAATTCTTCAGTGACCAGCTTTTCCTTTGGGCACACAATCTAGGCAAATCTTTGTTTCCTGTTGTGAGTGCTGGCTGCCTCCAATGCTATCTGCTATGTCTGGGCATTTTTATGAGATTTAATTGCAGACTTTACCCAGGCTGGCTCCTGCAACCAGTCAGCTCACTCCAGCCTCTGGGAAATGAGCAGACCCAGGTAAGGAGGCCATCCGAGCAGGACAGGTCCTGTCTGTAGTGCTCTAGGCTTAGGAACAGTGGTATTTGATTATTCTAGGGTTTCTGAGCTTGACCAGACTCACCTGCAGGGCAGGGTCCTCAGAGTCTCCAGCATTCCCAAGTCTTTTTCCACACACTAGATTGTTCTGTGGATAACCAAGTCAGCACCCCCTCCTTTTTTTTTTCCGTACAGAATCTTTGGGTGGCCCAGAGAAAGGACAGCCAACTCAAAGCCCAGCTCTTCAGATCCTGGTGGATATACTACCTGCTCTATGTAAGTGAGGACTTTGGAACTGGGACCTCCCACTTCTCTCGCCATGAAGGTGTCATTTCTTACTAAAATATTCCCATTCATCTTTAGTTGTCTGTCTAAAAAGAGAGCATGCTTCAGGTTCTTGCTCACATCCTTATTGTTTCCATAACAATTTTTCTTCCGTCTCCTGAGACGAGTTTGAAAAGAATAATTTTTGCCCGGCCGGTGTTGCTCAGTGGTTGACCTATGAACCAGGAGGTCATGGTTCGATTCCTGGCTAGGGCACATGCCCGGATTGGGGGCTCAATCTCCAATGGGGGGGCGTGCAGGAGGCAGCTGGTCAATAATTATCTCATCATTGATGTTTCTAGCTCTCTCCCTCTCTCTTAAATCAATAAAAACATATTAAAAAGAAAAGAGTACTTTTCTTTCTCTTCCAAAGCCCTTGGTACTTTAGGAAGGACTGTGTTCCAGCAGAGATGACATCATCTTTTCATTTTTCTGCTCCAGGATTTAAATAGAAGAAATGTGATCTGCTTACATGATAAGTCTGATTTGGCTAGAGCATGAAGTATAAATGGCTTTGGAATAAGAATCAAAAGAACCCTTTAACCTCTTTTCTTTTCTTCCCCACCTGGCACAGTTTATTCCCATATTTAGTTTCTTTGCTGTAATCTAATGAAACTGTAGCTCTGTCATAAGGGAACAGTGACTGGGAAAAGTTCCCAGCGACTGGCCTAATTCTCCTGTTCTCCCCATTTCTTCCCCCTCCCCCACCCAGATCATGGCCCTTCACCCCCGCAGAGTTCGGCTGAAGCCCTGGCTGGTGGCCCAGGTGGATAGTGGCCTGTACCCTGGGCTCATCTGGCTGCACAGGGACTCCAAACGCTTCCAGATTCCCTGGAAACATGCCACCCGGCATAGCCCCCAACAGGAGGAGGAAAATACCATTTTCAAGGTAAAGAGCCTTACCATTTGACTTGAAACGTTTTCCATTCTCTCAGACTTTGTTGGCTTTTATGGTTTGTGCTGGTTTCTCTTTTGACATGAGGAATACACTAAATCCAAAACGCTGATGCAACAGTGTTTATGATGGGGGTGCCCAAACTTCACAGGCATAGTAATTTCTCTTGTTGGGGCATGTCTATGATGGTTGAGGTCATTTATTCTTTCCCACTGGTCCAAGGTACTCAATTCACATTCCAAAGGATCCTGGGTAAAGTTGGCCAAACTCCTGTGAGTTGTTCCAAAAGCTCCCAAGAGTCAGCAATGGACTCTTCCTCTTCATTCGCTCAGGGTTCTTGCTATGAAGAAAGGTATCTGGGCCTGGGAATGGCTCTTCAGATCAGGGCAGGACTACTGAGTGTCAGCAGGCTCCTAGCATAGTCTGTAAGATGGGTGTAGTGGACCCTTAGCAAGTTTTTCTTTTGATATTGACATATTTTGCCCTATCCATGCCTCTGCTTAAAAATTAAAAGGTGACTTAATTATGTTTTCATTATACAAATATCTTTTCTATAAATAAAAAGCAGCATAGGGGATATAGTCAATAATATTGTAATAACTATGTATGGTGTTGGGTGGGTGTTACACTTATCCAGGGGATCACTTCGTAAATTATATAAATGTCTAATCACTATGTTGTACACCTGAAACTAATATAATATTACACATCAACTGTAATTGAAAACTAATTTAAAATTTTAAAAATCAAAAATTACATTAAAATAAAGAAATTTGTTGTGATACGAGAGTAATTTTACTTAACTGAAAACAAGTTTTAATCACCTGGCATGTTACAAATGTTAAGTGAAACCAGAGCTGACTTAGCCAGAAGCAGGTGGGAAGCTGCTGTGGGCAGGGGTGTGATGTGGTTGGTAACTTGCGAGCCTGCACCCCATCTCCAGACCAAAACTTCTCTGTGCTGGTCAGTCTTCCAGCTCGTGAGTAACTTTTGTTACTGCACCCCCAAGACCCCAAGAAGTGAATTCATCCTTTGTTTCCTGACTCTAAGCTGCAAGTCAGAAGTGAAATTCAGTCTCTACCGTGGGCCTGTCAAGATCTTGCTGAGACTGGACCAGGAAAGGTGGGCTCACATCTCAAAGGAGAGCCATCCTGGAGATGTCTCCCACCCGACTCCGTTATGTCAGGTGTAGAGAGAAGAGGCAGAGAGAAAATTGGCCCGAGAAAGTGAACGAGCACTTAATTTATTAAAATTAAGATACAATAGGGATAGAAAAACATCTGTAAGCCAGCACCAACATTCTAGTTGGCACGGAGGGGGGAAGGGCCTGCCCTGCCTCCAGCTGGTCTGAAATTGGGTTTGCTGTTGACGTAGCTGGTGGTGGCTGGCCACGGAGGAAGAGGCTGGTTCCTAGAAGCCTCACTCAGAAGAGCAATCTGTGTGCTTAGGGTTTGAGGAAAAGGGGGCTGTGGGAAGCTGTGTGGTCATTTTTATCTGTGTATCTGTTTGCAGATGCTAAGGGAGAGCCTTAGAAGTCAGGAGAAAAGTGAGGTTGCTTTCACAGATCCAAAGCTCTGACCGGCCTTTGACAGGATGGTGGGTTAGGGGTGGGGGCACTAGCATTAAGAGGATGCCTGATCCACACCCTATGTCCATTTTCTCATTTAATTCTCGGCAGCTATGTAAGGGAGTTTACTCTCATGTTGTAGATGCAGAAGCTGAGTCTCTGAGGGGCTAAGTAGCTTGCTGAAATCACACAGCCAATACATGGTGGGGTCATGATTTGAACCCAGGCCTACCTTCTCCCCATTTTCATCCTGCCCCTTCTCACTGGGAACTGGAAGACCTGTCTGCAGGTCCTGCTACCATCAATTGCATGTGTGGTCTTGAGCAAGTCACATAATCTCCTTGGGATTTAGATTCTCCTTCAGTAAAATGGAGATGAACCCAGTCTTGCTTGCCACGCAAGGATTGTTGTGAAAATTGAAAGAATGGGACTCGTAGATTACCATAAAAATGCAGGGGTTACTTCCATTTTAGGAAGAGAAATAGGGACCTGTACAGTGACCAGAATCTCAGAAGTATGACTCAGAACAGGTTTGAACAAGTGATATTTATAAATCACAGTGATGGCCTTGTGGTGGGTGCTACCTTCTGCTGCATCAGTATGGACCCTCCATGTCATCTGCGTGGGCCCTGGTGTGTGTGTGTGTGTGTGTGTGTGTGTGTGTGTGTGTCAGTGTTTCTGGGCATCAGTAGGCACTCACGGCAGTTTCCTATTCCTCAGGCCTGGGCTGTGGAGACAGGGAAGTACCAGGAAGGGGTGGATGACCCTGACCCGGCTAAATGGAAGGCCCAGCTCCGCTGTGCTCTCAACAAGAGCAGGGAATTCAACCTGATGTATGATGGCACCAAGGAGGTGCCCATGAATCCAGTGAAGATCTATCAAGTGTGTGACATTCCCCAGCCCCAGGGCTCCATCATTAACCCAGGTGAGGCCTCAGCTGCTGGGGAGAAGGTGGACCGTTTGTCAAGTTCTAGGCTGGACTCTTAAAGAGATAGGCGACTTGAAAATTGCCTGGCTTTTTACGTTTAAGACTGGTAAAGCAAGAAAGCCTTTCCCTAGGAAGGACCCAGAGAACAGAAGATGTAAACTCAGCAAAATCTTCTTGCTCATTTATGGGGATAGGTACTGGCCTGATTGCTTAAAGCATTAGAAAGTAGAGGGAGTATAGTATAGATTTATACCAAAAAAAAAAAAAAATAGCTTCTTGAGACTTAACACTAAGAGCAGAGGCCAGGTAGTTTAGAAGAAAGAAGAGATAAAACTTAGAAGGTTTGAGTTCTAAAGCTGGTTCTTGTCACTTCACTACTTGTGGGACATTGAATCAAGGCATTTGACCTAGCGAGTCTGTTTTTCAGCTGAAAAATGGGGATGCTCATCTTTCTTGCCTAGTTCAAAGGCTATTGCAAGAATCAACTGACATGTGTAAAAGCTCTTAAGTTCTCTTTATAAATGTTGAGGTGAGTGGCCATTTAGTTGTAGGATACTTTTACTAAGAGAATACCACCCGATCCTCCTAAATACCCAATCCTTAACAAGAAGTGATTAAGAGCCAGATACATTTTTTTTTTTTTTTTTTGGAGAGCCAGATAATTTTGATTTGTCTTCAGCAAATCTGGTGAGGCCCTGCCAGGAGAGAAGGGTCTGTTCTCACATTAAGCTTACAAAAGAGAGAAGTTGGTGTCCTTGAGTTCTTAAAAGGGATGCTAATGTGTAGGAAGAGGGTTAGAATACAAATTAAGAGATTTCTGTAGAAGGGAGTAGGGTTTGCAGTTCCTTAATAGGGGAGGGGAAGAGAGCTTACATCAGGGCTCTGTGGGAAGAGTTGGAATCAGGGATCAACATATCCTCAGCTCCCACTCTTCTTGATTAGGGCACTGAGGGTGCACACTGAGCCCAGAGACCCCCTGTGCTAGCTGTCCCTAGCTTGTGCAGGGGGTTGGCTACAGCAATAACTGGAACCTGAGGGGGTTCACTTGCAGCTCCGTGTCTTTCTTGGTAGGATCCACTGGATCTGCTCCTTGGGATGAGAAGGATAATGATGTGGATGAAGAAGATGAGGAAGATGAGCTGGATCAGTCACAGCACCATGTTCCCATCCAGGACACCTTTCCCTTCCTGAACATCAATGGTGAGTAGGGGTGATAGGTGGTCCAGAGGGGTGAGGAGGGCTTTGACCTTGCTCCTGCTGACCCCTCAGCCACCACTGCACTGGGAGCAGTGACCAGGCCCTGTGGCCAGGCTGCTGGCCTGTCATAGGCAAGTGAACTCTGCTGGCCCAGTTAAAAATTTTACTAATTCTCAGTCCCACATACAAAACTTTTATACATTTTGCTGACTTCTTTCAGGCCAAGTTGCAGGCATCATTTTCATGACTTGTAGGTAGACTCTTCTGCTCTTTCCCTCAGTATAAATTTTGTGTCACTTTCTGGACAGGGTCTACTCAGCTAAGGCTCTGTGATGGGAACTTGTGGTTTCTACAGCTCTCAGTTCTCGGCTCTGATAGAATTGAGCTGCAAGGGACTTTTCTTTTGTGGATTTTTAAAAATACATTTTTAAAAATTAATCTTTATTGTTGAGATTATTACAGATGTCCCTTTCCCCCCCTCCCCCCCCTGATAACTCCCCTCCTCCTGGTTCCCACCCCACCCCAGGCCCTCGCCACCCTATTGTCTGTGTCCATAGGTAATGCATACATGCATATAAGATTTTTGTCTAATCTCTTCCCGCAACCCCCACACTCTCTTACCTCTGAGAATTACCTCTGTTTCATTTCCATGCCCCTGATTCTATTCTATTTACCAGTTTATTCTGTTCATCAGATTTTTTATTCATTTAAGTTTTAGATTCAATTGTTGATAGATATGTATTTGTTGTCACTTTGTTGTTCATATTTTTTATCTTTACTTTTTTCTCCTTCTTCCTCATCTTAAAGAATATCCTTCAGCATTTCATATAATACTGGTTTGGTGATGATGAAGTCCTTTAGCTTTTTCTTGTCTGTGAAGCTCTTTATCTGACCTTCAATTCTGAATGATAGTTTTGCTGGATAAAGTAATCTTGGTTGTCGGTTCTTGCTATTCATCACTTTGAATATTTTTTGCCACTCCCTTCTGGACTGCATAGCTTCTGTTGAGAAATCAACAATGGGCACTCCCTTGTAGGTAACTAACAGTTTTTCTCTTGCTGCTTTTAAGATTCTCTTTATGTTTTGACCTTGGCGTTTTAATTATGATGTGTCTTGGTGTGGTCCTCTTTGGATTCCTCTTGTTCCAGGTTCTCTGCGCTTCCTGGACTTGTAAGTCTATTTCTTTCACCAGGTAGGGGAAGTTTTCTGTGATTATTTTTTCAAATAGGTTTTCAATATCTTGCTCTCTCTCTTCTTCTGGCACCCCCATAATTCGGACGTTGGTATGCCTGCAGTTGTCCCAGAGGCTCCTTACACTATCTTCATATTTTTGGATTTTTTTTTCTTTTTGCTCTTCTGGTTGGGTGTTTTGTCCTTCCTCGTATTTCAAATCATTGATTTTGATTCTCGGGATCCTCTACTGTTGAATCCCTGTATATTACTCTTTATTTCAGTCAGTGCATGCTTAATTTCTGACTGGTCCTTTTCCTTTTTTTTTTGGCATTCTCACTAAGATCCTTGAAAGTCTCACTAAGTTCCTCAGAGGTTTCTAGAAGATTCTTGAGAAACCTTATAACTGTGGTTTTTGAACTCTATATCCAGTTTTCTTTCTTCCATTCCTTTCATTTGTGACATATTTCTGTCTCTGCATTTTGGCTGCTTCCCTGTGTTTGTTTCTATGTATTGGGTAGCTGCTAAGTCTGAGTTGATAGAGTGGCCTTGTGTAGTAGGTGTCCTATAGGGCCCAGTGGCTCAGCCTCCCCAATCACCTGAGATGGACACTGTTGGTGCACCCCTTTGTGGGCTGTGTGCACAGTGTTGTTGTAGTTGAGCCTTGATTGCTCTTGGTGTCACTGGGAGGAATTGACCTTCAGGCCAATTGGCTGTGGGGCCAGCTGCGACTACAGTGGGAGAGCTGCTGTGCAGGAGACACCCTTACGGAGCAGGACTTGCTTCAGTGGGGCTTTGGCACTCCGAGTCTACTCCTTGAATGTGTTGCTTATGCATGTGAAGAGTTGTGATCTGGTATGGTCTCACACTGACCACTGGGTACACTGGCTCTTGGGTCTCCAGGGAGGTGCAAAGTCAGCCAATGCCTGGGGCCATCCAGCAGGAGCAACAGAGAGATCTGCAAATTCCTCCTATTTGTATTGGGTTTGGAAATGCCCAGACGAGGACCAGCTGTGAAGCAAGGCAGGCTGGTGCTGGGTCTCGAGCCTTTTATTGATAGGTTTGGGAATCCCTGACCCAGCTATAGCTTGTTTGACAGATTTTTAGCCTGAGAAAGGAAAGACCATTCATATGCAAAAGCTGCTGCGCATAGCTTGTGTGGGGTTATAAATTGGGTGGGGCGGGGTCTCAGAGAATCACCAGGGTGGAGCAAACAGAAATGGCTGCCAGTCAGCCCTGCAGCCCTGCCCCGGGGAAGTCCCAGCACCGGAACAAGGACTGCCATAAGCACCTCCGTCTGGAAGAAAGTTGCCCCAAGTTCCAACCGCAATGCCAGACAGTCCAATTTCTCCCTGTATGTGTCTGGGTCCCCCAGAGCCTCGCCTGGCACTGGAGCTCAGAGGAAGTGAGAGCTTGTAAATTCAGTTCGTGGTGCCCGCCTTTTAGGAGGAGCAGCTGGGTCTCCAGCAGCCTGTGTGTCACTCAGCCCCAATCCCCACTGGTTTTTACAGTCCATAGTTCTTACTGCCCGTAGGGACTTCTTTCCCCAGCTCTGGAACCCTGGGCTGGGTGTCTGGTGTGGGGCTGGGACCCCTTGCTCCTCCAGGTGGCCTCCACAGAGGCTATCTCCCTCCCAATTATCTCCCCCAAGCTCGTTCTGTGCCTCCGCGCCTCCTACCAGTCTCAGTGTGCTTTCTTCTTTACTTCTCTAGTTGTAGGACTTCCATTCAGCCAGCTTTCTGGTGGTTCTGGATGATAGCTGTTCTGCATTTTAGTTGTAATTTTGATGTGGATGTGGGAGGCAGCAAGAATGGGCATTTACCTATGCTGCCATCATGGTTCTCTTTTATGTAGACTTCTTAAAATTCAGCTTCCCAGGAAAAATGAGTTGAGAGGTTGGAAGGTCACTGTGTGATAGGGCAGGTACTGAATCTCCCATTGCCCATCCTGAGGATGCTTGAACACAAGCTGAACTGCTCCTCTGCGGCATCTTTGCTGGAACTGCCCACTAAAATGGTCCTTGACATGCATTCAGTTGAGCAGCTTTCACTGCTTTTCTAGTTTCATCTGCCTGCTATGGTTCAAATGAGATACTTGTGGGCTGCCTTGGACCCTTTTTGGGAAGATGTGTGGCATATATGAAAAACAAAGTAAAATGGGTACATAGATTTAAGCAAAGGGTCCAAGAAACATTAACCTCTGTGATTCCAGAGCTGTTGGGGCAGAGGAAGAAGAATTGTGGAAGAATAGATGCCTAAGAGGTGAGGCTAGGAGGAGAGATCTGTAGACTTTTGAGTGAGCCAACTTGGCCAATAGCAGGGAAATAGGATGGGTTTTTTAAAATTAACTTTTAAGAATAGCTTTATTTGGGTACTTGTGAATAAATAATACTCTTACATGATTTAAAATTCATAATGGTACAAAAAGGTTTTCCTTCCATCCCGTCTCTGAACCTTCCAGTTCCTTCCCCGGAGGGTCTTTGAGTATCCTTCCAGATGTTTAATGCATGTAAAGTATTTGTTTTTAATGGAATTTTGATAAATTAACACTTACTCAAAGCTAATAAACTGATTCCGTTGAGTTCCTTTTATGAAAGATAACCAGGTTTTATTTAATTGCAGGGTTCAAATTTTACGACAGAGAACCTCTCATATATGCTCATACTGATTTAACCCCAGAGAAAACTCACCCCTCTGTTAATCTTCAGCAAACCCAGGTTTTCATGACTATGAGTTTATGGGAGAACCAATATGATTAGGTTTCCCAGAGGCAGGTGTTTTTTGTTGTTAGTTGTGGGGATCCTCGATGGGTTGCCACATTTATCTTGGTCCAGTGTTTGACTCTTGTCTGTTGACTTTGTTAGGTGTTAGAGCCGCAGATCAGATGCTGTGCATGTGTGGTGCCCCTGCCTGCTCAGCCACATCCTTCTGTTCTAGGTTCTCCCATGGCACCAGCCAGTGTGGGCAACTGTAGTGTAAGCAACTGCAGTGTGGGCAACTGCAGCCCTGAAGCAGTGTGGCCCAAAACGGAACCTCTGGAGATGGAAGTACCCCAGGCACCAATACAGCCCTTCTATAGCTCTCCAGAGCTGTGGATCAGCTCTCTTCCAAGTAAGTGAGCCCTGGGCTTTCTTGATGGGTCTTCAGCTCCTAATATAGTCCCTTCCTGCCTTGCCTTCTGCTTCCATTTCTTTGCCTTGTATAGAATAGCTACCTTTTCCACAGGTACCTTCTGCGTATGGCTCCTGACCAGCTGATGATGGGTTACCAGGGCAGAAATAGGCCAGGTGATGATGAGTTATCAGGGCAGAAATAAAGAGACAGTAGCCTGTGCCTAATTGCCCAAGAGGATGCTCTGATTGGTTTCAGCTCCAGGTTACTCACCTTTTAAGTGGGTGGGAGTCCTGGTTTTATCAGTTTGGTTAGGGGATTTGGGGATAAGGCTAGTGGTGGGATAGGGAGGTAATGGCCATGGATTTAGTAAAGGGGGCTTTTAGATTTTGAGAGGCTTTAGGGTTTAGAGAAAATCTCTTTCTGGATTGGGCACAAATTTATTTCAATGAAGAATCATTGTCGCCCTAGCTGGGTAGCAGAGCATCGTCCTGATGTGCTAAGGTTGATCCTCGGTCAGGGCACCCTATTGTCTGTGTCCATGCAATGAATTCATAAATAAGTGGAGCAAGTCGATGTTTCTCTCCCTCTCTCCCTTCCTCTCTCTCTCTCTAAAATCAATTAACAAAATTTTAAAAATTATATTAAAATAAAAAAAGAATCAATGTCAATTCTCCATCTTCCCTTTCAATCTACACATGGGGGGAAGCGGGGGAGAATGCTAGAATTTTGTCCAAGAGGCTAATAGCTTTAATAGACATAGGGAGACTTGCTGAGTGAAAATTTAGTTTGCTGTGAGCTGTATCTTTTTTATGATATATTGTTAAAACAGAAAGATGAGTTGGTATTCTTGTTTTGCTGCTTTCTTTAAAAATATGACACAAAACCAGATACCTTAGTTTCTAGCTCCTTCCCATGCCTATAGATACAGAGACTCAGTATGAAATGGGAAGACCAGGACTCGGACCTTAGCTTGGAGGAATTCTAGCCCTTAGGGTGTGGTGATTGAACAGAGATAGGAATGATGGACCTTTGAACTGTTTGCTTCAAGACAGCCTTTTGCGTGACTGTTTCAGGGTTATGTTGATGTCTCCCTCTATTGCAGGGAGGATAACTATGGCCATGGCCTTCCTGAACGCTGGTAGAAAGGTGGCTCCATCTTGATGGACTTGTATGAGTCTTAGGGATAAATGGGCAGAGCAGCAGAACAGGACCCTCACTGTCCTCTCTCACCTTGCAGTGACTGACCTGGACATCAAGTTTCAGTACCGTGGGAAGGAGTATGTGCAGACCTTGACCGTGAGCAACCCCCAGGGCTGCCGGCTCTTCTATGGGGATCTGGGTCCCATGCCTGACCAGGAGGAGCTCTTTGGTCCTGTCAGTCTGGAGCAGGTCAAGTTCCCAGGTCCGGAGCACATCACCAATGAGAAGCAGAAGCTGTTCACCAGCAAGCTGCTAGACGTCATGGACAGAGGACTGATCCTGGAGGTCAGCGGTCACGCCATTTATGCCATCAGGCTGTGCCAGTGCAAGGTGTACTGGTCGGGGCCATGTGCCCCATCACTTGTTGCTCCCAACCTGATTGAGAGGCAAAAGAAGGTCAAACTCTTTTGTCTGGAAACATTCCTTAGTGGTGAGTCTCTTTTCAGAAGGTTGATGGGTGGGAAGTGGTCCCTGGAAATATGTCTTCCTCCATCCCTCCTCCCTTTCCTGGCTCTGCAAAGGTTTTTTTTTCTGGAGGAAGTAAAGGTCGAAAAGAACCTTGGTTCTGAGAAATGAAAGTGACCTGGGCAACAAAGAAGGGCGTTCCACTCCAATGCTCTGTACTTAGACACTATTTTTAGTTGGTTTTTAGCACCTTTAGTGGCAGAAGAGGCAAACAGCCTCGTCATTAGCTCCCAAATGCTACCAGTTTATCCTTAACGTTGGAAGGTGACCCTGTTCATCATAATCAGCAAGACGTATACTCTTCTCCTTTGAAAAATATCCGAATGGTGACTTCAAGCAGGCACATTTAGGGAGAGCACTGCATTGTGAATTTTACAATGTGGTTTGAACCCCAAGTCTAACTCAGTGGTTTCCTCTGAAATGATGAAAATGTTCTGTATTTGTGTTGTCCAGTATGGTAGCCACTAGCCACGTGGCTATTGAGCATGTTCATGTGACTAAGCAACTAATTTTAATGAACTTAAATTGAATAGCCACATGTGGTGGCTAGTGCCTACCATATTAGGATGGTATTTACAGAGTGGGTATGGAATGACCCAGTACACCAAACCTGCTCTCCACCTTCTGCAGAACTCATTGCCCACCAGAAGGGACAGATAGAGAAGCAGCCGCCATTTGAGATCTACTTATGCTTTGGAGAAGAATGGCCAGACGGGAAACCCCCGGAAAGGAAACTCATCTTGGTTCAGGTGAGGAGATAAGGATATGTCAATAACTCTTTACCTTTTCATCAAAGCTTTAGCTCCTAGGTCTGAGGTAGAGCCCTGAGCAAAGGACCCATCAGACTGTGTGGGTTTTAATCCCATCAGATGGAGTACCAGACTCAAGCTTTGCACATTGCACAGTAGGTCCACGATGGGGAATACCAGGTCCTCAAAGTGGGTGACAGTTTTAGTGGAGACCTTGGCTTTCATTCTCTTACTGACATTAGAGTCTTGCTGAAACCTAACAGGATATGACCCTTACAGCTTTTTGACAAAAACCTTTCAGTTACTTTTAAGAACACAACCTTATTCTAGGAAGTAAAATCAAGATCACTTGGGTTTGGCCCCTGGATTTGTACAAGACTAGGCAACAGATGAAATTTGGGTAAACGGCTTGCTGAATAAGCAGTTACTTGTTTAGATATGTGATATGATGCTACCTCTAGATTCTTTACCTTCATTTTGAACCAACTTTTAGAATAAACCCTAATAGGATGGTTCGGAGAGATGAAGGCATATCCTATATCTAGAGTGGGGGAGGGGGGGTTCCGTAGGGCCTCACTGGTCCTTCCTTCAATCTTGAGTCCCTCCTGCTGTTGAAAAATACCCTTTCCTCAGCAGATGCCTGTGTGCTCTGTGTCCTGAACAGGTTATTCCGGTGGTGGCTCGAATGATCTACGAGATGTTTTCTGGTGATTTCACACGATCCTTTGACAGTGGCAGTGTCCGCCTGCAGATCTCGACTCCAGACATCAAAGATAACATTGTTGCTCAGCTGAAGCAGCTGTATCGCATCCTCCAAACCCAGGAAAGCTGGCAGCCCATGCAGTCTACCCCCAACATGCAGCTGCCCCCGGCCCTGCCGGCTCAGTAATCGCGAATGCCATCTTCCTTCTCTTTTTTTACAATATTGTACATATGGATATTTTTTATTATTCAGATTTAACCAGCTTGTAAAACCCCTTTTCTTTCTAACAATGTTAGTAGTTTCTGACTCTCCAAATATGCCTGGTTCTTCAAGTTGATTTAATTTATGGAAAAATCACCCTTTATACTTTCCCTTTCTTTTTTACAAACATCCCAATGGTAGTAGAATTGTAGTAGAAGGAGATTTGGACACCAGGGTTCTAACGACGGCTTTACTCTCCATGTACGACCTTGAACCAAGTCATTTAACCTCTGGGCTTCAGATTCATTACTGTCAAAGTGAAGGGGTTGGAACGATGCCTGAAATAATGCCAGCTTTAAAACTCTGACTCGATGACCTCATTCTACTTGTACAAGGCAAAACTGCCTGGAACAGAACCCTTCTGAATTGTTCTTGTACCACTTTTTTTTTTCTTGCCTTCATTAAAGTTCCCTCAAGCAGTGATTTGTCCAAGATTGATCTCTGTTTGACCTGTTCTGCTAGTATAGTTAGCTGGCTCCCCGATGGGGGAAGTGAGAGGGAAGGGAGCCAGCTGGTTGCTTAGGAACCAAACATGATATCTAAATAGAAATAGGTGCCAAAGTCTGAAAGTCACCCGGCCTGTGGAGTAAATGCTCATAAATTGAGCTTCTAAAGGGAAGCTGTCAACACAGAAGGCCCAGGATCCCATGGACGAATTGGTTGGCTGGTGTTTGCCTCGTCACCACTCAGATACCACTGTGTGTGTGTGTGGGGGGGGGGGGGGGGCGGGTAGATGAAAGTGTGTGACTTGCTGGCAGCCTTCAGAGAGGACAGAGCCCGCTTTTTTTTTTATTCTCTGAGGAAGACCTGGGGATGAGCTGGGCATCTAGGAAAACTGCTGAGTATAAAAGGGACAGTCCCTCCTTGTTTGGAGAATTTTACAGCCTTCTTATCATTTGGGTTATTTGCATTTGGGGAAAAATAGGGTGTTGAGTGGGTTAAGGCCAAGGTGAAGAAGGGCTGGGAAGTGTTTTTCCGGGAAAAGGCTCACCTTAGAACAAACCTGCTTGTCTCCCTAGTGGAGGTAGCTGGGTGTGAATAATGAAGGTGTTGAACTTTGCATCTATAAGTGCCATGAATTGGTCTTATTTATTAACTTTTGCTAGGCCCCTGACCCTTTGCCTTTTTTTTTTTAAACGGGTAAAATCACACATGATTTAAATTTCAAAGACATCATGGAAAATATGATGCTAATCTCTGGTAGCACACCCAATCCTCTTGCATACTGATGGCTATTGGTGCCAGGCCATATTTACTACTAGAAAGCCCATGTCTAGTCTGTTACCCTTAAACCAAGCCACCTCCTACCTGCTACTGGAGTCGAGCTAGCTGAAAAGTTAAGCTAGTTTTATTTCAAAACCCGAGCTTCAATTCAATCACAGGTGTCAGTGGGACTTATTTCGAATGCTTAAGCCCTAGTTTTAGAGTCTCTAAGGGACTAGTAGGATCTGTTATTACTAAAGTCTGACCAAGAGAAATCTGGGTAAAGGTGAGGTGCTCAGAAATTTGAGGTGAGCAGAAATTTGGCTTCTAGACCAGAAAATATGCAAGGTATAGAAACTATATTTTTGGTTATTTTGCAGGGTGGGTGAAGTGAGGGTTTTGGTTTTGATGTCTGTCTGTCTCTGTCTGTGTCTGCATAGCTCCAAATGATAAAGAATTCACTGTAGATAAATGGGTAGAGCTGGTCCCTTTCCCTTCTTCTGTGAGATGCTAACAGCCAGGCTGTCCATCTGGATGGGGGCCCAGAAAATGTGAAGCTGGGTATTGAAAATAGTGTTCTGAAGTGCCAAGAAGCATCCAACTTTAATATGTGACTGTAATGAAAACTTTATAAACATGTCAGAGGACTGGATGAGTGGCTTTATGTGGTCTTAACTAGATCCTGGGTGTCCTTTTTTGGAGACCCAGGTTACTATCCCCTTTAGTGGCTAAACCACTCATTCCCTTGGTGTCTTCTACTTCCTTGCCTTCACCTTGATGAAGACTGGGAAGAGTTAGATGGTGTCAGCAACTCTTCTTTTCCTTCACTGTCCACTCTACCACCAAAGTTAGCTCAAAGTGAAAAGGATCCACTGGAGGTAAACAGGGAGGGCAAGTGTTGGATCGCCACATATAATTAGGTCTCTGGTCAATGTTGCCATAGCACCCTGTACTTTCTCTTTCAGAGTCATCAATTCCCTTGTAATTGCTCAGCATCTGTGTCTTACTTGACTACAAACTTGCTGAAGGTAGGGACTGTTCATTTTGGATTTTGATGCCAGCTCTTAGCATATTTTCTGGTAATATAGTATGTTTTCAAAGATTTGTTGTTAGAATAAATGAGTGAGCTAAGTAAGTCTTTTATTTTAGGGATTTGTTGGTAACCACCATGGTAAAATAAATATGGGGCAGGAAAAAATTCTAAAATTAGTTTCTGGTCTCTGCTTCTGACTCCCTCTGAGTTCAGGACCAGGGTGAGACTGGAACCCCTACAAACTAGTCCTCCTTCCAGGCTGGCCCCATCTTTACTCCATAATGGTCTCTTCATCTTCTGAAAACACTTCCAAGATAGGACCAGTAGTGAAACCTCCAGTGTGGGTGCCTGCAATTCCCTTAACCTCTGCCCTGCCCATGTTATCAATAAATTTGGGTCATATTCTCAGATAAAAGTTTTCTCAAAATCTTCCCCCCCAATTTATGGGTCTGATTGCTGGTAGTTAAAGAGGTGTTAACCCGTCGGTGAAATACTACTTTTCTTAAAGAGCTGATTGAAAACTGTCTGCATCTCCCTGTCTCATTTCTCATGTGAAGTCGGCAAATTGAATTCCTACAACTTAAGCTGCATGAAGGGGGGGGGGGGATTGTTTTGTGCGCTGTGACACCTCCGAGAAGCATGCCTAGCACACATTAGTTCACCGGGAGTACTCCTGCCCTTCACACCCCGCTTAGACAGGACCAACCTGGACCGGGATAGCACTGGTCCACCCACTTCTCAGAACTGAGCCACTCAAGTTTAGGGTTTAGGCGGGTCAAAGCTGACAAAACAAAACAAACCTCTGAAACTCTGTCGCACCAAAGGAGGCGTGGAGATTCTGCAAAACACGTCGCGCCGCGTTGAGCTAAATCTCCTTTGGAGGGGAAATCGCATTTCTAGGCACAAATGAAAGTGTTTTTGCACCGCCTGGAGCCAGCTGCCGGAAGCCGAGGAGGGTAGCAGCGGGCTGCCAATCAACCAGGTCCCGCCTTCTCAGGGCCACTTCCGCTCCTCGCGGTTCCTATACTGAGGGGCGGGGCCAGCTTCTGGTGGTAGGAAAGGACCGGCCTCCCGGCGAGCGGGCTGGTGACGTCATGGAAGGCGGCGGGGGTGGGGGAGGAGTCGCGTGGGGCATGCGCAGTAGACCGGCTCTGCCGACCGGAAGCCGAGAGGGCGGGATTTCCCGTGGGGCGGCGGGTTGCAAGGTCCGTGGCTTGTGTGGCGGCGCGAAGGGACTGGAAAAAGAAGTTCCTGAGCCCGCGAACCTGCAGCGGAAGTGGAAGAAGAACGTATGTGTGTGATGCCGAGCCCTCTGTCTGGTTTAATAAGTCACGATAATTGGCTCCGAAAAGGGTGTGGGCATTGGAGTGAGCCCTTCCGCGGAGGGTCCGTGGATGTCCACCAGGAGGGATGGCGGAAATTAAAATACCACCCTCCTGCAACTCTTACACATTTCATTTATTTACTTTTACAGGGTGAGATGGTTATCAGTCCACATTCTAGTGTATGTCATTTTCATCAGATGTCTATTCTCAGAACTCTGCTGGCAGGAAGAGAAGGGGAAATTGGCGGTGGAAAGAGTACATTTGGAGCCTAGAACTCTGCCTCCGAGGGCAGTTTTAGGTGAAATGCTCAGAATTTTGCAAGAGACTGTCTTGCCTCTTCGTTGCCCCAAACTTCTCACAGTTTGAATCAGAGAAAGTAATTTACAAAAGCCACAATTTGGAATAGAAGCCAGAAAGAATATAAATCTACCCCTAAATCCAGAAAGACACGTGTATTTGGGGCTCCAGGAGACGGAGTCAACCGTAGAAATCACCCCATCTTGCCTGGGTTAGCATTCCAAAGCATAAGGAGGGACAATGACCTTTGGAAGATGCTATAAGCCAGGGGAGAGCTGTTGTCAGGTGTCTTGGTATGTATGTCACTGGCTGGTTGTTAATAATCCCCTGGCCCTGCTTTGTTTTTAGGTCCTTCAAGTGTCGGGAGCTCAGAGATGTGGCCCAGGGGAGGGAACTGTCTCTAGTTAAAGAGGCCATGCCTGATGTTGCTTCCAGATCCCATGTCGACACCAAGTCCTCAGTTGCTGGTGGCAGCTGCTCAGCAGACCCTGAGCATGGGAAAGAGACGGGGCCTGGCCCGAGCTGTCTGCCTTCACCTCGCCGGAGAGGTCCTGGCTGTGGCCCGGGGACTGAAGCCAGCCCTGCTGTATGATTGCAACGGTGCGGGGACATCAGAGCTCCAGAGCTATCTGGGGGAGCTGCAGGGCCTGGGCTTCCTGACCAAGGGACTTCACATCCTTGATATTGGAGGCAACAGCCTGATCGTCATACCTGAACATGTATGTCAGCACCTGGAGCAGGTGCTGCTTGGTCCTGTAGCCTTTGTGGATGTTTCCAGCTCCCAATCTCACCCTTCTATCCGCTCCCTGGACCAGCTTCAGGACTTGAAGTCCCTCATTGCTGAGATCATCACCCATTTGCAGGGGTTGCAGAGGGACCTGTCCCTGGCCGTCTCCTGCAGCAGACTCTGCTCCCCAGACTGGAATCTCTGTACTGTGTTTGGGATTCTCCTGGGCTATCCTGTTCCCTATACCTTTCACCTGAACCAGGGAGATGACAACTGCTTAGCCATGACCCCACTACGGGTGTTCACCGCTCGGATCTCATGGCTTCTTGGTCAACCCCCAGTCTTGCTCTATTCCTTCAGTGTCCCAGAAAGCTTGTTCCCAGCCCTGAGAGACATTCTAAACACTTGGGAGAAGGACCTGAGGACTCGATGTACGGCTCAGAATGACTTTACTGACCTCAGCATCTCCTCTGAGATAGTCACCCTGCCAGTTGTGGCCCTCTAACTCCCGTGTAGAAAGTACTCACTAAATATTCAGCTCTAAGTCAGGGATTACAAATAGGCATCATCTCAAGTGTCAATTCTGAGCATCTTGACAACACCAGGGAAGAATGCTCTAGTCAACTGGCCACATCTGTGACGGGCACGGGAACAGGTGGCGGCGGCAGCATTGGTAGTACATACTTGCCATTTCTATACTAAGGAGTCCTCTTGACTTAACTGAGATGTCTATTCCTTTTTCACTAGATAGAAGATAGAAGGAAAGAGATTGTGGAGAAGGGGAGTGAGGGGGTAGGTGGAGAAGGTTAGTATAAGGGGGAAAATAGCTATTTAAAAAAAGGATTGTGGAGAAGAAGGGAGGTGGAGGACAAGTAGTGTACCCTTGTATATGGTAATGTAAATATACTCTGTGGGTAGTGTTCACTAGAAAATAGCAGGCCTGGGCTTTACTGCATGTTTATATAGCTCCAACTGAATTGGACTAAGGAAAGTAGACCAGGATGCTCAAGTGTCTTATATTTGTGATGTGATGGGTTGGTCATTCATGAATGAACAATTCTGGGAAACAGATTGTCAGGCGAAGTTTATTTGTTTATTTTACAGTAGGTGGAAAAAAATAATAAAGTTAGAAATCTCAGTTGAGTTGGGAAAACCCACACTTGAAAGTATCCAAACCTTCTGAGTTTTTTTATTGAGTTTTTTGCTCCTGATTTTCACCCAAGGTGGCTGTCACAAGTTATTCAGATCATCAGGCTGTCCTTATTGGCCAGGAACACTGCTAGTGCTATAGCAATCATCACGATCAGCATTGATAGCCATCGGCCACACTGCCTCTGAGGGTGGAGGGGGAGAAGAGAGAAGCCATGGGTTGGTTGGAGAAGATATAGGCAAAAACAATTTTCCTTCCCATTCTGGCCCCGTGGGAAATCTTGGGTTGGTGGAAGAGGGGAAGGTTTTTTCTATCACTTTGTTACCTCCCTTGGGATAAAACCACTTTGCTGGTAGTCACTGGCCCATAAGCCAGGATCATTGGCCCAGGGAACCACAGCTAGCTGGGGCCAGATACTTAAATACAAGTCCAATCAAAGGTGGAAAATAACTCAGCAAAATTGTATTGTTCTCTGTTCATATTCCTTGTCACATTTTCTCTCCTCATTCTGTCCTTGCCACTACACTCAATAGGCCAAAAAACACCATTTCACATTTTAGCTAATAGTCCTTTCAGGCTTAAGAGTTGTTCCATGAAAAAAAAAAAAATGCCCTGGCTGGTGTGCTCAGTAGTTAGAGTGTTGCCCTGTGCACAGAAGAGTTGCGGGTTCGATTCCTGGTCAAGGGCATGTACCTGGGTTGCAAGTTCGTTCTCCGGCCCATTGGGCTGTATGCAGGAGGCAACCAATCAATGTGTCTCTCATATTGATGCTTCTCACTCCTCCCTCCCACTCTAAAGTCAATGGGAACATATCCTGGGGTAAGGATTAACAACAACAACAATGTTCCATGCAAATTAAGCTGGGGTGCATAAGCCAGTGTTTCTTTCCAAGGTTGCTGTACTGTCTGTCGGTATAAACCAAGCTGAATGGGACAGGCTGGTCAGAAGATGTGGCTAAAGGAGGAATAGTCCCACCATCATCTAGGGCTGTATGGGAGGATCACGCTCTTACTCTGGGAGGCAGCTGCTGGCTCTGGTTCAGCTCTTCTCGACAGTGCTGCAGCGTACGCAGGCAGGAGAGGTACTCATCACTGAGGTTGTCTAACTCTGAATGCAGTTCTCTGCACTGCGGGGGAGAATACCACCAAGGTCATCACCAGGTAAAGGAGAAGGCCCCCTGTCAGTTACCCATTCATTCATTTGGAATTTGTACCTTCCTTCCTTCCCAGGCCTCAGTGATTTCAGTTTGCCTTTTGCTGTTTGACCTAGTTTGTCTGGAATGTGTTCATTTACATGAGTGATTATAATGCATATTATATATTAATTACTTATATTTGTTATATAAGTGTGTGTTTTCATGTGACAGTGAGCAAGTGCTTTGTAAAGGGGACATCAAAAAAATGAAATTCTTATAGAACAGAAGACCTGGAAGTGATCACAGTACAAGGCTCTTGGTCAGTAGCCAAGGATATGTGTTTGCGAATTTGTAGATAGGAAGAGTTTTGTTACTTAAAAGACTATAAAGTTTTAACATACTCAGTGTAGCGCAAAGTTTGAGGAGTTAATGTTCATGAAGTGTATTTGAGTTTAGGTTGACTTACTAAAAAGTAGCTAATAAAATGAATAAGGATTGTATAAGGAAGGAAAACGATAGACAAACTAACCCTAAAGCAAGACAGTTTTTATAGTCAAATGAATACTTGGAGGCATCCAATCACAATGTTTAGTGTTGAAATCCCTGCTCTCTGGATGCCTCCAGCAGTTTTCCCTATCGCTGTAGGCTGAGCCCCCCACTACTACCTGAGGTCACCGTCTCACCTCCTTTTCCTTGGCCTGGAGCTGCAAAGTCTTCTTTTGCAGCTGGTCTTTGAAATCCCAGTCTTTCTCCTTCCCTGTACCCTCAGGCTCCACTTCGTTAAGGGAGGGCTTTGGACTCCGCACAGACAAAGCCTGATCTAAAAAAGCAGCCAGATTCTCAGTGATGGTAAGGCCCACACCTCTGAGGAAGGGCCCTGTCAATGAGAGGACCCCTGGGAGTGAGGAGAAGGGTGGGGAGGGAGAAAGAGAGGGCCTGTCTTTGGTTAGACTTCATGGGATGGAATTCTCTGACTTTTAAAGCACTCCCATTGGGACCCTGCTCAGACTGGACAGAGAGCTGGAAATTGAGCCCCACTGAGGGCAAAGTTGGCATCTTTTCTTTTTATCCCTAGTCCTGTCTAATGCCAGATACTTTTAGAGTATACTTCTTAATCCAATTTCTTTGGTTAGGGGTCATAACCCCCTTCCTTTCTGTCCTTATTTCAGTCATGAGAAGGCAGTCACATCCTAGAATTCATCTTCGTGTGGTTAAAGATGGTTTTTCAGCCACCTGGCAGTCTTAGTCTTGTGAAGAGCCCACTGGACTAGTGGTTAAATTCTGCATTGTTGTCTTAGCTGTGTCTTTAATTTGTGTGACCATAAGACCTTCATTTTCTTATCCATACTATGTGGGTGTAATGATTTCTGCCTTCCATTTACCCAGTGATTGTGATGAGAAAACAAAAGGCCTTGTGTAGTGGTAAGGGAGGAGTTTTTGCCCCTCCATATACATGATGGATTCTCAGGAAGCTAAGGCAACAGATTCCTGAGGGCTGAGAGTGAGGTCACTTCTGCATGCAACATGGTTTAGAGGGGAAGTTGGATGTGATTTGGAAAGTCAAGTGTAAAAATTGACATGCAATCCTGAGTTCAAAATCAATTTATTGAAATGTTCAACACAGACATGTTTTGCAGGGGAAGTAGAAATCCCTTTTCGCAGTTTACATACCTCTCAGGGTAGGAGGCTAACTAGTTAAAGTGTTCTCAGAGCCAATGATCAGCCCTTAACAAGCTTCCCCAGATCCCTGACCTAACAGATGCCAGAACTGGATGGGACTCCAAGAGGCCATGTAGTCCATCCCCCTGCCTCTAGGCAGGCATGGCAAGAGCAATGTCTTAGAATTTGTGGAAGTAAATTTGCTGACCTTTCTTTATTAAGAGTTTCTCCTGCTCTTGAAGCTGTAAGGATTGACTCTGAAGCAGACCTGTTGGAAAACACAAGAAACTTGTCTGTGTTGGTATGTTTACTGCAAAGCATGGCTTTTCAGAACTTTGCTCAGAACCTTAATTATTAAAGATGTCCCCATCTATTATTGGTTAAATTGTGTTGAAGTCATAACTTGTAGTATCTCAGCATGTGATCTTTTTGGAGATAGGTATTTTACAGAGGTAATCAAGTTAAAATAGGACATTAGGGTGGCCTAATCGGATATGACTGGCATCCTTATAAAAAGGGGACATTTGGACACAGACATGCATAGAAAGAAGACATGTGAAGAGACACACAGGGAAGACAGCAGCTACAAGCCAAAGGGAAGTAGCCTGGAACAGATCCTTCCCTCAAAACCCTCAGAAGGAAACAACCTTACTGACACCTTGATCTTGGACTCTAGCCTCTAGAACTGTGAGAAACTAAATTTCTGTTCTTGAGTCACCCAGTCTGTGGTCCTGTTATGAATGCACCATCTTATATCTCTTCCGACTGTGTCTTTACCTTTAAGTCTCTGCTTAATTGTCACCTTAAAACAGTGGTTCTCAACCTTCCTGATGCCGCGACCCTTTAATACAGTTCCTCATGTTGTGGTGACCCCCAACCATAAAGTTATTTTCGTTGCTACTTCATAACTGTAATTTTGCTACTGTTATGAATCGTAATGTAAATATCTGATATGCAGGATGTATTTTCATTATTACAAATTGAACATAATTAAAGCATAGTGATTAATCACAAAAAACAATATGCAATTATATATGTGTTTTCCGATGGTCTTAGGCGACCCCTGTGAAAGGGTGGTTCGACCCCCAAAGGGGTCGCGACCCACAGGTTGAGAACCGCTGCCTTAGAAGAAAGGCTTTCCCAGATGACCCTGTATAAAATAGCAACATTTTCCTTTAGCCTGCTGTATTTTTCTCCATAGCAGTTCTCACTACCTGACACATTTGTTCACAGAAACTCCATACTTTACTCCAGAGCTTACTTAGAATGTCAGCTTCGCGAGGGAAGGAACCGTATCAGTTATGTTCATTACTGTATCCTCAGTGTGCATAGCTAGAGTGGCCAGCACTTGGTAGGGGCTCATGCCATGTGTATTGAATACATAAGTGATTTTCAAGTGACTTCTTTTCCACTCAGCGCCTGCTCTGGAGAACCGCTGTATTAATGGGATCAGGTTCTCCAGCTTCTCAGAAATTGTCTACTCTTCTTATGAAAAGTCCCTTCCCCTCTTTGGCCCCAAAATATAGTGTTGAAGTGGCACGTGTGGAGTGAGCTCACTTTCTGAACCATTCTCGTGACCAAGGTCTATGTGACATATTCATGTACGTAAAGAGAATATACAAAATAAGAACTACCTTCGAAAACTTAACACTTTAAAAAACCTGTAGTTCTGGGGGAAATGCAGATGGTTGTCACTGGCATGGAAGGAAAAAGGCAGAAAAGAAAAAAAAGGACAGGCTAATATATAACGTGTGAAGAGCTACGTAAATGACCTCACTTCACAGAACAGGGATGTCAGAGGAAGGGGAGCTGCCAAAGACGGGACCCCAACCCCTCCTCTGGACAAACACCGAAAGGCCAGCTGTGCTACTTTTCGAATCTGGAAAGGGAACTTACTCTGCAACTGCTGTACTTTGGTCACCAGGGCGAGTTTCTCCTCCTCGGACCTCTTTAGTTGATCTAAAAATGAAATAATACAAACCAAGATAGAAGAACCCAAGATTAATGCACCCGACACCCGAGGATGGAAATTCCTCATAGGTACTGCCTTGGCCGTGGCCTCTGATATGTGTCAAGTGCAAGTTGCCCTTCCTCCTACTTGTCCCTGCTCTGAAGAGGTAAACCAGAACCAAAGTACCTTGGATGTCATTTGCATTAACAAATGGGGTGACTTAAGTGCTGTATTTGCCCACGGTTTGGTCGTCTCTCAGCGGACTGCTCAGAAACCTTTCAACGGACCTTTCCCTTTCAAATCAGGAATGTGGCCGGGACACATGTGACTGATGTGAAGCAGCTGTGGTCCGGCCCAGAGGGATGGGCTGGAAAAGAGCTGATTCTCCAAGATGCGCTAGTGCCACAAAATCAGTGTTCAGTCATGGATGATTATAGCAGCCCTGCCTTTCCCTCAAGGTACAATGGAATCTTAAAGCCAACCAAACAAACCAATGAAAGACCGAGTGAAGCCCTTTTCTCCATCCAGCTTCTTTCGCTGGTCTCACTCGAGGCCCCCCGAGGAGAAGGGTACCTTGGAGGTGCTGGGTGTCCGAGCTGCACAGGTCTCTGTCTCCCTGTAGGCACTCAATCTTGGCCTGCAGTTCCTGGTGCTCATTCTCCAGAAGTTGCAGAGCCTGGTTCATCTGCAAGTCTCTACTGTCTGCTCCCTGCAGGGAGGAAGGGGGGCGGATGCAGAAGGAGGTCAGTGCTAGGGCGGAGGGTGGGGGCAGATCCCGTGGAAGAGGAAAATTACAGGAGAGTGTAGGGCCCTCGGCAAATCTTTCTCAATCTGCTCCTTTCTCTCGGCTGCCCATATCTCAGTGACCAGCATGATCGCCCATCCAGTCTCCCAAGCTCTAAACCTGGGAGTCACCTTGATTTCTCTCTTACTTTCTCCCAGTACAGTGGGGCCTTGACTTACGAGTGTCCCGACTAACGAGTTTTTTGAGATACCAGCTGTCTCTCGGCCAATTTTTTGCATTGAGTTGACAGAGTAATTTGAGTTAAGGAGCTCCTTAACGAGCTCGGTCTCGGAAGGAATTAAACTCATAAGTCAAGGCCCCACTGTATTCAGTTGGTCATCAACCCTTGTCAAGTCAAGCTCCTTTACAGCTCACACCTGTCTCATCTCTATCCCTATGACCACTCCCTTCGTTCAGACTCTAATAATATTATATGGGTTAATGCAAACTCTTTCAATGCTGCAGTTACAAGGTCCTTTCTAAAAAGCAAATGTGATCCTGTCACACAACCTGCTTCAATCTCTCAGTAGATTCCCAGCGTCCTAAGGACCAGGTCCAACTTCCTCGGCATGATTCCTACTTAATAGGCCCGGGCTTTCATTCTGTGCCTTCTCCACCCAAGCGGAACTGCTTGCAGATTTCCTAAGCACTGTACTTTCTGGCCATTGCCTTTGCCCATGGAACTGCTTCTGCCTGGAGCCTCCTTATCCACCCTTTTCACCTGGTTAACTTCTACTCATGCTCAAGATTCAACCCAAGAATCATGTAAGTTCTGATAAATCTTACCCTTAGCCCCCAACATCATGGGCTAGGTAGCTTTTCTTAGTGTTCACACAGTATCCCCTGCATGTCTCTATCTTTCCATTCTACAGCCTTTCTATGAACGGGACGACTCTCCAAACTACTGAACCGCACAGCCTGGGCCCCATGCCTTTCATCTTTATGCTCTGTGATTTGGGGGAACACAGGTAGCTGTTATTGTCAAATCTGGATTGCCCACTGGGTAAGCAGTGACCTAGATAATGCAAATTTAGGGATCAATATGAAATCTTTCCCATTTAGCTTTGGAATCATCTGAAAATTTGGATTTAAATGTGAATGGGTCTTGTGTCCTTAGAATTTTCATTAGAAAGCATCTCCAGGAATTATTGGTTGAGGTCATACATGGGTGTGTCCCAATTATTGGACTTAACTGTGCTGGTCACTGGACAGCTTTATCCTCCATTGAACATGAATTCATTGGCATTCTGGATTGTATGTCGGTCTCTTATGAGCTTGATTGGCATAATTTAGAGTCTGACAAAAGAGATCATACTGAAAATTTAAAGTTGTGGATCAGCAAATCTATAGACTCGTCTATAAACTTTTCTGCAAGACTCCAACTGTGTGGCCAGGTCCACCTTATCTCCCTAACTCCAGATAGGAGCAGTCTTCCTGCTCCAACTCATTCTCTTATTTGACATGTCCCTACTTATCAGAAACACATCGCTTCTAAAGTGTGAAATCTGATTTCTTTCTATCTCTTGTAATCCAAGATCAGGCCAATCAAGAGATTACTGAAGCTGGATAACAATGTCACAGGGAAGCCAAGAGTCACAGCCTTACAACATTCTCTGCAGGTTGCTACAAGATGAAAGTTGCCCATGGAATGAAAAGAATTTTGCAAAATTTCATTATGACATTCAACTCATCTGTTCAAAAATTGGGACCTGTGTGGGCCTAGTTGGGTGGTGTGAATCTTTACCAAGGTTCCTCCCTATAGCTCCAGGTATTCTCAAGGTTGCCCTGGAGCTGGCGAAGTGCTTGGTGCTGGGATTCCTTCCCAGGGTGCAAAGTGAAGGGCATTGGGAGAAAGGGAGAGGAGGATAGAGATAGAATGTGGACATATGGTATATTGGGGATCAAAGTGAAAATGGCAAAGCCAGAACTGGGTGAGTAGGAGTGTTGCCTTAAACTCTATCAGGTGGCATTTCTAGAGGATAAGATTGAGATTCAAGCATTCTCCTTTAATTCTAGATTCCTGGGCTAGAAGTGTTCTCCAGAATGCTTACCTGGGTACAGGTGTACAGCTGGTTTTCTAAGGATCTCAGTTTGCCCTTCAATTTGTCTTCATTAAGCTGTCCCTGGAAGAAATAAGACGAATAAAAGAGTTTGGGCCAAAGTATAGTGTACAAAGTGTTTTGTTCCGTATTCCCAGCCTAATGTCTAGAACAGCCCTGGGCAAACTACGGCCCGCGGGCCGAATCCGGCCCGTTTGAAATGAATAAAACTAAAAAAAAAAAGACCGTACCCTTTTATGTAATGATGTCTACTTTGAATTTATATTAGTTCACACAAACACTCCATCCATGCTTTTGTTCCGGCCCTCCGGTCCAGTTTAAGAACCCATTGTGGCCCTCGAGTCAAAAAGTTTGCCCACCCCTGGTAGAACATGGTCCATGCTCAATGTTTGGCAAACTGAACTCTTTCAAGAAGTAGGGAGGAGGAAAGGTGACAAAGGATTTTTTGGAAGAAGAGGATCTATTCCTCTTTTTCTGGAATAGGAGAAGGAAGAATCAGACTGACCCCCAAAGTCCTCTCTCTACTTGGAGGTTCTCTATCAAATGGCTCAGGGATCCTAGCAGGGTCCCCTAGAGGGAAAGTTTCTAAGCTGTCCTTTCCTGCCCTCATTACCTCTCTCCTTATCTGTTGGGCACTTCTGTACTCCTCACCTTCTCTCAGTCTTGTACATGGATCTTTACTTCTAAAGTAAAGGGGACTCCCCTCCTAGGGGGAGTGTACATTCTCTTTCTTACCCCTCGTTATGTGCTGAATTGTGCCAGGCCCTGTGGGACACTGTGAGGCCTGTTCCTCCTCAGGCCTGAGGCGCCCCAGCTCCTCTCAGGTGCATTTCCAATGCCCCCAACGGTTTCCAGTCCACAATAACCCGGGGCCGAGGAGGGGACTCTGTTTTGAGGGGGCTCAGGGAGTTTCAGGGCACCTGGGGTAGGCAGGAAGTGGTATCTCACAGCTCCTGTTTGGCTGATTCTTCTAACCAGGGGAGCCAGGGGGCGCCCCCACCCTTTCTGCTTCCTGTATTACTCAGCTGGGCCTTGCAAAAGCAAAGGTTTTGCTGAAAATAAGTTTTTAAGTGTTTCCTGCTATTGATGTTTTTTCTAATGTCTCTCGTGTGAGAGCTGAGAGTCAGGGATTTTGCGCGTACAATAGCCACAGGGCTTTGGGACAGATAACAGAGATGGACAAAGACCGCCACTGTTCTGGGCTCCAGAATAGCTGGTTACAGGGCTGCATTCCCCAGAGTGGCCTGTTCATTGTCAATGCACAGGTCCTGAAATCCACTCCCTCCACACCCTCATCTCCTGCTTCAGATCTTCCGACTCTGAGCATTTTCCTTTGCCTGAACTCTCACTCTGCAGATTGCAATCAAACCCACTGAGTTTAAGGTTTATCTTGCTAGAGTTTGGGCAACCCCAGGCAATATTCTTACATTTTCCCCAGTGTCCTACCCTTTTTCGGTAGCTCCTCTCTCCTCCCTTACTATGGTTTCAATTCAATATTTTACCTCTTCCAACTGTTTTTGTATTTTAGCCAGACCCCAGATTACGTTTCTATTCATCTTGCAATGTGATACAATTCAGCATAACCCCCTGCAGGGGGGATAAAGGGCCACTCAAGTCTTGGATTTAAAAAAACTCTCTTGCCTACAGCTCTGCACAGACTCCCCAAGGCAGGCAGGACAGCGGCAGCCAAGTTGTTGCAAATGGGGCATGTAGTTTCCTGGTCTGAGCCCCAGCTCGCCCCACATGAAGCCCAGTGGTATAGGATGTGGGGAGAAGCACTTGTTACAGGCCTGTTGTGGACTTTTTTGGGGCAGTCACACCCCTGGAGCCCAAGGCTCAGGGAGTACAGCACCCCCATTTGGAGAAGGGAGCAAGGTGGAGGCCATACACACCTGGTGCCGGTCTAGGGCTTCAGCTCCTGCTTCTACGTGGCTCTCCCCTGCCTCTGTTCTCCAGGCACGCTAGCACCTCACCGCAGAAGCGCCAGCCCCAGCTCCTCACCGCAGAAGCGCCAGCCCCCAGCTCGACTCTGCTCTCGCAGAAGTGGCTTAGGACTGGCAGCCAATCCCCTGCCTCGCTGTCATCTCACGATCTCATTTCTACTTTGCGGAACTTAAAAACCCCCTTGTGCCCCACTCCTGTTTTTTTTATTGCCCAATTCTGAGCACTGGCTTTCCTGCCCGAACTGCTTTTGCTCTGCAGGTTGTCCCCAGCTTAGGACTCTGGTGGTGCCCTAGGACCTATGCATCCAAAAGGCCCAGAGTGAACTTGGAGGTTGGAGGCTGTGGAGGGAGCTGATCCTTGGGGTTCTAACAGAGTTGGCTGTGAGCATCTCTGCATTTGAAGTTGGAGATTCAAATCAGAGAGACCAAATGGGAAAAATAAAGGCCTGAACTGGGCTGAATGTCCTGTTCCAGCCACTGGGCTGAATGTCCTGTTCAGTTATTTTTCCCAAATTCACCTTTCACTGAAGTTGAGGCTTCCATGGGAGGGGTAGAAGGTTGAATTGCCTTGTTTTTGGGGAAAAGTAACTGAAAAGTCTTTATTGAAAAGTCTGAGACTATTTTCCTTAAAAACAGGAAACGAGGGGGTTGATGGGGAGGAGGAAGAAGGGGAGGGTGAACAGTGGGAGGGGCAGGAAGAAGGAGGGAGAAACCACAGTGTGGCCAGGGGAACTTCTGCTCACCTGCTGGAGTGTGTGGTGTGAAACTGCCCCCAGAGTCTACCTCGAAAATGTCTCTTAACACCTCCTCCCCACCGGGCTTGCTGTCCTTCCAGCTCTGATGTTCTACCTGGGATATTGTAAGTGCTCACTACCCGCACACCTATCCCGAGCCAGGGTCCCCACTGTTGTCAGAGAACCTTTTAAAACACAGATCTCATCACTCACTTTGAATTCAGTTCCGGAGCTATTGATTGAGCTCCTTCTAAGGATGGACCAGGCACTGTAGGACTTTTTTAAAAAAAATCCTAACCGGAGGATACTTTTTCCATTGATTTTTTTTTTTTTCAGAGCAAGTGGAGGGGAGGGAGGAGGAGAGGAGAGAGAGAGAAAGAGAGAGAAACATGGATTTAAGACACATAGATTGGTTGCCTCCTGCTCAGGCCCTGACTAGGGCCTGGGATGGAGCCTGCAACCAAGATACGTGCCTTTGATTGGGAATCAAACCCACAACCCTTTGGTCTGTGGGCTGACGCTCTAACCACTGAGCAAAACTGGCCAGGGTGACACTCTAAGCCTTTAAACCTGAATAAAGCATCGTTCCATTGCTATCCTGCTTATTGTCTATAGCAGTGTTCCCCAAACTGGAGATAACACGCAATCTCTTGGATCTGAGATATCTGTATTTTCCCTCTAAAGTGGAGTCCATACATTATTTAAGTTTGAGATACTATGTTCAACACAAAAAGTGTAACGGTCATAATTCTAGAGACTTGTCTGAGGTCATTTCTGGTCTTATCTTTGGAACGACTCTGACATGATCTCTTCATTTCAGCCACGCTCTGCTACACCCACAGCTTTGTCATGCCTAGGCCTGGAACCATTCTGGTTTCTTTGCCCTTCTGCTTTTTCTGCCCCATCATCATTCCCACTTTTGTCCTGGTAAACTCCCCTGCATCCTCCAGGCCCCAGCTCAAATGGTCCCTGTCCTTCAGAACCTACCCTATTCCACCTCAGGCCAAATAATGGCTCTCTTCTCTTTTCGTTGGGCCACTTTGTAGACGCCGCTGTTACAGCTTTGTCCCGTTGTGCTAGTTGTTTATGACACATCTCTCCCTTCCCTGCTGAGTGTGTGCTCCTCAGCCTCACGGTAGCACAGGGCCCAGCACTTGGTGGGAACTTAGCAACTGTCTGTTGAGTAAAAGAGAGAAACATCTCAATGTAGTTCAGCCCTGGAAACCTTCTGGCCTGCACAGCTGTCTGCCCCAGACTCCTAGTCTCTGGATGGAAAGGACTTCCCTAATCAGGAACATAGATACCTAAACCCAGGCACAACGAGGCATGCGAGGAGGGAGGGCTGAGCTTAGGAAATCTTTCTTACATCACCGCAAACATCTCAGTTTGGTTCCACGCCCTGCATTTCCTCTCTCTGTCTAAGCAGAAGCCATCTGCACGGTGGGCTAGATGGTCACAGAGGCCCTTGAGGGTGTGGCTTCTTTCTTTGCACTTGGTGCTTTACGCTCTGATGGCGTCAAACTGCTGGTAGCTCCCTAAACACACGAGTCTAGGGGTTTCCACGGGGGATCTGAGGAGCCCTGGGAATCCCTGAGACCTTTTCAAGCGAGGTCTTCCCTTTTCTAACTACAGATCGGTTTGAGGCCAGATTTTCCTCATATGCTTCGACCAGAACAATGTTTTGCAACAGATTGAATGCAGAATCAAATCTGAGAATGGAGCTGTCTTCTGTTCAGCCAGACGTTAAAAAAAGATTTGCAAAGTTTAAAGCAATGGTACTCCTTTTACTATTTTTTAAAAATATACCTATTTTTCCTAAAAATATAAAGTTTAAGTTAACATGTAATGGATTTACTATTGTTATTTTAAAATTAATATATATTTTAAGATTCCAGTTTTAATTTCTAATATGGTAAATTTTAACATGGCAAATATAAAATTTTTTTTGGGGGGGAGTTTTATGGTATTTTTTTTTAGAGAGTATAAAGGGGTCCTGAGATTAAAAAGTTGGTGACTCATTGCACTAGACTATATTATTCCTCTTGGTCTTTGCCTGTGCCATATCCCCTGCCTGGAATATAGTTCCTTCTTCCACGTTTGCCTGGAAAATATTTACATTACTATAAATATTTCCTTGGTTCTCATCTTCTTTAGAGTTATTCATTCCTTCTTATATATTACTAGATCCTGAAAACATTTCTTTCTTAAAAGAATATATTTTTATTGATTTCAGAGAGAAGGGAGAGATAGAAACATCAATGATGAGAGTCATTGATTGACTGCCTCCTGCACACCCCCTATTGGGCATCGAGCCCACAACCCAGGCATATGCCCTTGACTGGAATCAAACCTGGAACCCTTCAGTCCACAGGCCGACCCTCTATCCACTGAGCCAAACTGGTTAGGGCTGAAACATTTATTTCTCATATATCTGCGTTGTTTAGGCATCTGACTCCCTGACAAAACCACAAGCTCTCTGAAAGCAGGAACCCTGTGTAATTAATCTCACTATTTCCAGTGCTCGGTACAGAGAACATGGTCTATGAATATTCGTTGAATGAATGGGCTGAAATCAGGAGATCTACATTTTAGTTTCAGTCCTGCCTCTAACCAGCAGTGTGACTTTGGGCGAGTCACTTGACCTCTCTGACACTCAGTTTCCTCGTGGGCAAAATGAGACAGACTGGATGACCTCTAAGGTTCTTTCCCACTCTCACATTCCCGTCTGGGCTTAGCAGTAGGTGCATGCCAGCTGGGAGTTCATATTGGTTATGAGTGCCATACAAAAATAATTGGCATTTACCACAGTTAGTAATATTAACTGTATTGGGATCGCCCTTGTTCCAACAAATTAAAAACTGGAGATTCTTGCCCCTTTTGCTTCTGGGTCCTCCCTGGGTGTGTAGCCCTCACGGCCCTGGATTTTGAGCCGTCCCATATATTTACTGTGACCATCTATTTGCTGTTTGACTTCTAGGTCTTAGCGTCATTCTCTACCTCCTGCCTCTACAGTAGTGAGAAACACACACACACCATACTCGGTAGGGAAGGTATGGAAAGGAGAAGGAGATGGGCAAACTTAGAAGCTGATGAGCTTTGTTCAGACAGAGGTTTCATTTCCCTTACCTTCCAGGAACTGTCAGAGGCTCTGATCAGGGTGGACAGTAGGTCTTGAAGAATCACCATTTTCTGTTTTAGAACCAGCTCTCTTTGTAGGGCCTCCTGGGAGGAGAATGCAAGAGGGTAAGATTAACCTGGCGCAGGAGAGAGGACATAGGTGGAGGAGTTGAGGGGAGAGTTCACGTTACTTACTTTGAGGTACTCGGAAAGCTGGATGATTTCCTAGAGAGAAAGGAAAGGGTAGTCAAGAAGTTCTCCTGAAGTCCCCGAACATGGAACCAGAGCAGGGGTTGACTCGTGCAGAGTAAACTTTCTTCCGTGGTTCAGACAAAGTCCCCCCAGCCCCTCATGTCTATGCTCATCCAGGGAGAAGGCGCCCCTCCATCCCAGCGGAGTTTCTCATGGGACCCCAGAATACCAGAGTTTGGAGCAGCTTGTATACCATTTGATTCAACCCCTCCAAGGTAAGGATTTTCTTACCTTATCTAGAACCGCAACTCCACAACTGGGAAGAGAAAAAATAATAACAAAATGACAATGGAGCAAAAAAACTAACAGGTAGGAGGTGGTGGGCTGATTCCCTCTCTATTCTCGTTTGAAAAGCCAATAGGGTGGAAAGATCTTCCTCTTTTTTAAAAAATACATTTTTATTGGTTTCAGAGAGGAAGGAGAGGGAGAGAGAGATAGAAACATCAATGATGAGAGAATCATTAATCGGCTGCCTCCTGCATGCCCCCTACTGGGGAGCAAACCCGAGCATGTGCCCTGACCAGGAGTGAACCATGACCTCTTGGTTCATAGGTTGATGGTCAACCACTGAGCCATACCAACTGGGCCTTTTGTTTTTGTTTTTTTAAAGAAGGTGGACATGGACATTCATTGTGTTCCCTACATACTGGGTGAGGGTATTCAAGTGAAAACTTAGAGGAATGGATGGGATGTGAAGGAGTTGGGGTCAGGAACACAAAAGGTACTTACTTGGTTTGCTGACTGGCATCATTCTTAGTTGTGGGCTGTGCTTCTTTTGCCTTTGTCTGAGTGCCTGAGAGATGGAGGAGCAGGTGATTCAGAACCGGGGTGGGGGGGAAAGTGGGGGAAGTGGGGGAAGTGGGGAGGGGCAGGGACTCTGCTGCCAGTGAGCTGGGACTGACATGGCAGGATTCTCTGCAAGCCCCAGTGAGGGAGGGGGCTTCTGCTCTTACCACGATGGTGTTTGGGTGGCTTCTTGATGGGAAAGTCCTGTGGTTGAAGGCCCTGGGCCTGGGAGGGGAGATGATTGGCCAGATCCCTCCGGACGCTTGAGAGAGGGTGATGTTGAGTTGGAAAGACCTCAGAGCTGGTCCCTGGCACCTGGAAAGCAAGTGGCAGACGCTGGATGCCTAGAGCCATAGGACAGGATTCTCCAGCTGATTGCTGAGAGGTGGACTGATGATCAAGTTTCAGGTCCAGAGGACCAAAGTAACCCCTTTAAGCCTTCAAGGCTGCATGGTTATTTGCTCTTGCCTTCCCTGTTTCAGCTGCCAGGAATGGTCCTCCTCAAGCCAGGAAGCAGGAGCTGGGCTTGTCTCCAACTAGACTCTCTAGAATCCCCAGCTACCTTGTTTGGTCTCAGCCACTCACACAGCCAGCATGGTGATATGGAAAGAGAACGGGTCTGAGTGGGGAGTGAGGGGATCTGGGATCAGAGCCCACCTTTTCCAGGTCTCAGTCTCCTATCTGTGTAATGAGTTTGGAGTAGATGAACTCTAAGCTCCCTTCTGTCTTCTAGGGATGGCTTCCTTCCTCTTAGGAATAGCTGGGATGTTGCTGAGGTGTGTGTGAAGAGGTCAACTAGGGAATTGTAAAGAGGGGTGTAGTAGTAGTTGTCACAATTTAGTCTGCTCTTTTTATTTATATTTTCTTTTTTTACATATTCAAAAATTCTGTGCTTTGCTTTTAACATAACACTCAGAGGCTAAGAAATGCCTGAGGTATTTAATCATGCAGACCAACTCAATCTCAATAAAACTTTAAATATATTTTTATTTATTTCAGAGAGGAAGGGAGAGGGAGAGATAGAAACATCAATGATGAGAGAGAATCATTGATTGGCTGCCTCCTGAATGCCCCTCACTAGGGATTGAACCAGCAACCCGGGTATGTGCCCTTGACTGAAATCGAACCCAGGACCCTTCAGTCCACAGGCCCCTTTAGTCCACAAGCTGATGCTCTATCCACTGAGCCAAACCAGCTCAATAAAACTTTAAATAATTGATAGGCTCAGTTGGAATTCTTTAGTTAATTGTGTTTCCCGACGTTTTAAAAATTTTTATTTGATTTTAGAGGGAGAGCAAGAGACAGAAACATCTATATGAAAGAGAATTATCAATTGGTTGCCTCCCGTATACACTCTGACTGGGGATCGAACCTACAAACTTGGTTTGTGCTCTGACCAGAAATCAAACCAGCAACCTTTTGGTGCATAGGATGACGCTCAACCAACTGAGCCACACCGGCCAGGGCCCAATCTTTTTCTCCTTAAATATTTTTTCAACAAAAGCATTCAGAGGCCCTCCTTCCTTAGAAAGTACAGTGTTGGTTTTATCTTACAGTTGGGCTCGAGGATCATTTTTCTGAACAGCACCTCCTACTGTGGACAACAGGTCCACTAGTTAAGAAGCCCTGACAGAGCACCTACTCTGGGTAGGGCACAAGGTCAGGCGTTTCCAGGGAATACAGTAGACCCACCCCTGCTGTCAACATGCTCAGCATGGATGGGAAGACACAGATAGTTTGCTGGCTGAGGTCATTTGGACACACCCTATTTCTTTTTGCCAACATAGCTTCCCCCCAGGCCAGACTAATGGGTTCTTGGGTCGTTATTTAATCTTAGAGGATGAATAGCCTCATGAGAACCACAGAGAGCAGACTTGGAGAAGCTAGGGAAGGCTTCCTGGACAAGATGAGGCCTTAGCTGAGTGAATTTAGTAGAGTTGGAATGGCGCAAGAGGAAGAGAGAAGGTGGGTGGGTGCAATAGCTCACAGAAGAATAGACATGTGTGTGTGTGTGTGTGTGTGTGTGTGTGTGTGTGTGTGTGTTTTGAGAGGGTCATCAGAAGATTGGCCGGCCTGGGTACCTGGCATACAATAGGCATTCAATAAATACGTGTTGAATGATGGGTGAAGGATGGAGAAGATGTGTAGATTGCCTACATTTGAACTGGTACTAAGAATTAGCTGTGGAATTGTTTTTAAAATTATTTTTTCTCTCCTATAAGGCAAGTGCAAAACAAAAATAGCTAAATAGACAAGCAAAAAAACACAACAACAAAAACCTCTGTGAGTAAGTGGCTAAGGGAAACTTTACTATATGACTGAGGAAGAGACTTAATTTGAATCACTTTTTAGTGACCTGGAGCCCACCCACCCCCCAACAGAGCAGTGTGTCCCTAGGCACGCCCACCTGCTGTCTGGGGGGAGGGATCCTGTTGGCCAAAGCCAAGAGCTTCTTGAGTTCAGCCTCCTGGCCTGTCCTCCTGGAGGGACTTTGCTCCCTGTCCGGGCCTCTCTGTGTTTTGTCTTTCTCCTCCACCTCCAGGTTCCTTCTCCTGAAGAACTGCTGCTGTCGGGCTCTCTGGAGCTGCTCTGTGTGCTGGGTCCTCAGCGCCTTCCCCATCTGGCGGCAAGTGGTCATGTTGGGGCGGCAGCGGCGGCTTTCACGGGTCTCCTGTCGGCGCTCATACTTGGCCTCGTAGCTCTCGGCCCACCGGGCCAAGCCAGCGGGAGGCCTGGGGTCTGGGCTGATCATGAGGAGCTCCTGAGCACCTGTTGTGCTTGGCTTCCAGTTCCTGGAATAGCTGTCGGGATCTGCCAAATGCCAAGAGGGAGGAGAAGGGGAGGGGTCAGGAGATGGGCAGAAAAATGACTACCTCCCTGGACAGGGACGCGGAAATAGCATATACATGTGGGTTGAAAACAGAGGAGGTGATGATGTCAATCTGAGAGCCAGGACTCTCAGGGTCCAGTCTCTATGCTAACTTCTGCTTTTCTCCGGCCTTTGTCTCCCCCTCTGCAAAGTGGAAAGTCTTTCTGGCTGCCACTTCTTCATTCACCAAACATCTCACCCTGCCTCTAAGTCAGGGGACCATGAGAAATCATTGATAAAAATCATCATGAGTTTGTCACCTTTTGGATGGCAGGGATGTGTTCACTCTTTGGGGATTCCTAGAGAACCAGTTGAATGGCTCCCTGTTCCCAAATCTAAAGGACAAGCCAGCATCTTTACTGCTCTCTCGGCCCAGGTTGTTACTAGAGTAGGCGAGTGACTCTACTCAAGGCCTGGAGGGACACCCAGACCCCTCCAAGGTGTGGCCAGTCCTGAGACCAGCACCCGCTGCTTTCTTCTTAGCCCTTACAACCAGCTGTGAGCTTGGTCCTGGGCACAGTCCAGGATGGAAACCCCACCCTAATTCCTCTAATCATGGTCCATTGGCACCTGACTCCCAGCCCAGACCCGGGCTCTGACTCTCAGGTGCAGATCAACTCAGATCAGTATTGGCCAAGCACCTGCCACGCCCAGTGCTGGCGAAACCCATATCAGAACTTCCGGCTCAATAATTCTCGGTGTTGAGAGTTTCATTTTTCTGGAATCACCTCCCTGTCAGAACTAAGTATGGTGTCAAGTGTGCTTTTCTTAGCCCAGACACAGGCTGTGCCACCAAAACCAGCAATCAGCCCGGCCGGTGTGGCACAGGGTTGAGTGTTGACCTGTGAACCAGGAGGTTATTGTTCAATTTCTGGTCAGGGCACATGCCCGGGTTGTGGGCTCGATCCCCAGTGGGGGGTGTGCAGGAGGCAGCCAATCAATGATTCTCTCATCATTGATGTTTCTATCTCCCTCTCCCTCTCCCTTCCTCTCTGAAATCAATAAAAAATATATTTAAAAAACCCAGCAAACACATGGGTTTTGTCTCCTTAAGATCATTACAAACAAAAATGAAACAAAACCAAACAAACCAAAACAGTAGCCCCAAGTCCCCAGGCCTTCCTGTAGAGGCCACACTTTGTCGCCCCTTTATGTGGCCTTACCTGCTGCTCAGATAACCCCCAAACCCTTCTTCCTTCTCTGTGCTCCCCTCACCCTCTCCTACACCCACGGACCTTCTGCAAATGTGTTTCTTTACCTAGAACCCTCTGGTAGCCTGGCTGAGTTGGGGCTGGACTTGGCTCAGCTGGATCCTGAGCACTGGAAATTCTGTGCCCTTCCTCCCCTGATCACAGGAGTGACTGCGGAGGGAAGAGGAGCCCCCCTTACAGCTGCCGCTTCTCTTCTGGGTCCCACAACCTGCCTACCCACCACCCTGGGAGCCTTAGTTCCTGAGTAGGTCAGAGAAGGGTACCTCAACTGCACCAACAGCAGGTCTTTGCCAGCTCCGGCCCCTCGGGTCTATTTACAAGCCAAATAGACTCAGCAGGTAGCAGCCTCTGTGCTCCTTCATCGGAACTTCACTGCCCATCTGGCTCGGTCTGGAATTCTCTGCAGGACTCATTCCCCAGGGTCAGGGGTGGGGTGGCCTCACTCCCTGAGAGGGGTCTTATGTGGTTCAGCCCTGCACCTTCTCAAACACCTGAGTCCTGGAGGGGCATAGCCTGGTCCTGGGTAGGGCTGACCCTGAGCAGAGCTGTGAGGGTGCTGTCATGATTGTTCTAACATCCCACCCTGGCTGCCTCACCTTTTTTTTGGTTAATCCTCCCCCGAGGATATTTTCCCATTGAATTTTAGAGAGAGTGGAAGGGAGGGGGAGAGATAGAGAGAGAGAGAGAGTGAGAGTGAGCCATCCATTGGTTGCCTCCTGCGTCCATTCTGACCAGGGCCGGAGATCAAGCCTGCAACCGAGGTACATGCCCTTGACCTAATCAAACCCGGGACTCTTCAGTTCACAGGCCGACACTCTATCCACTGAGCCAAACCAGCTAGGGCTGTTTCACCTTTCTTTAGGCTTTTCTCCTCACTCTGTAGGGGTCCTCTGACTTCCCAGCTGCCACTTTATTTATTAAAAAACTTAGATAAGCCCATTCATGTTAAGTTATAAATGACTGGCTGGAGGAGACTGGGATTAAGTGCAGGTGAACTCCATGTCTGGAATCTATGCCGTGGCATCCTATGCAGAGCCCCTGGCTATTCTGCGATGGATGGGGGAGGCGGGGAGCCCAGCTCTGGGCTCAGTGTGGCTTTAAGTCCCGGCTCTGACACCTACTACTTATGTGCTTTTTTTTTTTTTAAATATATTTTTTATTGACTTTTTTTACAGAGAGGAAGGGGAAGGGATAGAGAGTTAGAAACATCGATCAGCTGCCTCCTGCACACCCCCCACTGGGGATGTGCCCGCAACCAAGGTACATGCCCTTGACCGGAATCGAACCTGGGACCTTTCAGTCCGCAGGCCGACGCTCTATCCATTGAGCCAAACCGGTTAGGGCCTACCTATGTGCTTTTGAAGAAAACTATTAAACACCTCTGAGCCTCAGTCTCCCCATTTATAAAATGGAAACTTATCTCATAAGGTTATGAGGGTTAAATAAAAAAATGCACTCCAGCCTGTGTGGCTCAGTAGTTGAGCATTGACCTATGAACCAGGAAGTCACGGTTTGATCCCTGGTCAGGGCACATGTCCTGGTTATCAGCTTGATCTCCAGTAGGGGGCATGCATGAGGCCCCTGGCCAAAGACTCTCATCATTGATGTTTCTATCTCTCCCTCTCCCTTCCTCTCTAAAACCAATAAAAATATATTTAAAAAAAAGAAAAGAAAAAAATGCATGTCAAGCATCTGACACATAGCACACAACAAATGTCAGCTTTTTATAATAATAATAATAATAAGCTATGATCATTATTACCCCCTGTCCTGCGGATCTTGGATACTGCTTACACGGTGCCGTAAGACAAAGGCCCCAAGCTAACCTAGCGCTCCTAGGACCAAAAATACCGCACCCACCAGTCCCCTTTTCTCTTGAAGGGGTGCTGTTTACCCCACGGAGGGGATGCCGGTCCCGGACAGCCTCCTATTTACTACTCTGGTTCATCTGGCCTCTGGGTTTGGGCCAGAAGAAGAAAGGGTTCTCTCTGGTCGGGACACAGCCACCTTCTCAGCTAGGCCTGGCAGAAAGGCAAAGAGATGGGGGTGAAGAACTGTGTCCAGCCTGCGCTCCACCATTACATGTGGGGGCAAGGTCCCCACCCTGTTTGGCTCCTGGTGACCACAGGTTATGTAGAGGAGGCGGATCCCTGGGTCTGGAGAATCCTCCCCCTTCCTACCGTGAAGAGGACAGGGCCGTGGGGAGGAGCTGAGTCTGAGGGAAGGCCTCTCTGGACGCCACCAGGCTGTCTGCACTAATCCGCTGAAACAGGCTGCCTCCTCCGCTTCCTGAGGGGCAGGTGCTGGGGCTTGTTACCCAAGCGGGAGGTGCGCTAGAAATGGCCCCTTAGAGAAGGGAGCATTCCCCGACCCCCAGGCCCTCACGCTGGTAGCACTTCTGCGGACAGCTGAGCGGAATCCTGCCCAGCTCCCGGGACAGCTGGACTGTTCTGATGGCTTGCACCAGGAGGCCATGTGGGTCGCCTCACTGACAGCGATGGGCTGTAGAAGAAAAAGGAACTGGTCCCTGTGAGGTTCAAAGATAGGTCACTGGGCCACTGCCCGGGCTTTCTGGCATCTGTGGGGCGCCCCTTGGCAGCATGACAGGGCCCAGTGGAGCTCCGGGGAGACGTGGGACTGGCTGGGGACAGCCCTCCTCACTGCCAGAGGGAGATGTCCGGGTGCTGGCCTTCTGAGTCCCTGTTCCCACTTCCTGGCTGTGTGTGTGGTGAACGGTTTCCCAGTCCAGAGCTCTTGCTGTGAGCCAGGACAGATAGGCCTACACTTAAGCTGCTGGGAAGGCAGCTACTCGTTTGGGGGACTCCCTGCTTTGAAAAGAGCTGTAAAAGTTCACTGAACTTACGCCCCTGTCACTAGGTAGCCTGAATCCTGTCATTGACTCACCCCTAATTCAATCTAACGGATGGAGAGAGGAGCGATGGAAGCTGTACACTGTGGCCAGTGGCTCCGGAAACCAGTGCGGGGTGCTTTCTTAGTTACCCAACGCCCAACGCTCTTAAGCTCCACCATCTGCTCCTGTGTCTCCCCCTTCAGCTCAGGGAAGCTCCAATGAGGGAGGTGCTTCTGTTCCACCCCAGAGTCGGGGGACCCCAACCTGAACACAAAAACATCCTCCTCCTCAGTTACCTTGGGTCCCAGGCTCCAACCCAAGCAGCTCAGAAAAGCCTTCCAGCTCCTGGGTAGATCTTGGTTCTGGTCTCAGATGGGGCAAGACAGCAGCCGAGTCAAGCGCAAGCTTTCAATCCATGGCTCTGCGTCCCCTTAGCATTTCCCTTCTTGGTACTGTTTCTCTTTGCGCAGAAGCCTCGCTGAAACAGGAAACAGATAAAGCCACAATGCTTGCTCACCCCAGTTCCTCTCTCTTGCTTTCTGGCACAATCTGAGTGGGCCCCTGAGCCCCGGAGGCCTCCACAGGGCTGGGCCTAGGAGCTCCTCCCATCAGCGGGCACCCCAGCCACCCTTTCTCTTGCTACTGGATTGGTCTGCGCTCTTGGACGGTTTCAAGTTAAAATCCCTTTCCAAGAGTAGACAAGGATGGGTCTCTGGGTCAGATTCACATCTTGTAGCTTCGATGAGATGCTCCCATGATAGGTTTTCAATGTTCTCTTTCCTTTAATTACCTCTTCCCAGTCCTGGCGTTGTAAAGAGTTTCTGCTCTTCTGAAGTATTGGTGTTTTTTTCCTATTTCTGAAATGAGGCCAGCTGAAGCAACAGTGTGTGTGTGTGTGTGTGTGTGTGTGTGTGTGTGTGTGAACGGGTGTGTGGCTAGGTAGTGAAGGGAGCAATAGTAGAATCTTCTAAAAATATTTTCCAGTCAATAGACTAGGAAGTTTGGGGGGAAACTAAAAGAAACTGATCTGTGTGCATTGCTAAGAAACTATTACAGATGATATAGTCAGGAAATTCCCAAGAACTTCAGGATAAGATAGTGGGAAGGGAACTGGACTGGGACAAGTTAACCGAGTAGCTTTGTAACCTTGTGCAATTCACTTTGAACGGTACACTCAGTACGTGGTTGGGTGATTTCCATGGCGCCTATGAATTCTCAGGCTTGACACATATGAGGTGCATAATGAGACATTTAAACAGCTGTAATAACACTTATTAACATATGGGGAGTATGTCACAATCTTCATTGCTATTACTTCCCCATTCTCTGAAGAGAAAAAGGACAAGGACTTGGCAGGGAAAAGTGCAGAGGATGATTCTCAAGCATTAAAACCAAAGGCAGATGGCAGTCCCTCAGGATGAGAGACAATAGCCCCATGTCCTGTGTTTGGAGTTTGACATATGGAGATGGGAATGAGCAGAGGACGGAGGGGTTGGGGAATTCAAGATGCAGAATAAGAGAATTTCATTGGCACAGAATAAATAGTGAGAGGGCTTGGGGAGTTTAGGGCACAAGAGCATCAGAAGGGACAGCGGATTGTAATAGGAGTTCCTGTGGACAAACTATTTGGGTTCCATTCAAAATTAGAAAGAAGTGTGTGTCCGGCTGGTGTGGCTCAGTTGTTGAGTGTCAACCTATGAACCAGGAGGTCACGGTTGATTCCCAGACAGGAATCACATGCCCGGGGTGTTGGGCTTGATCCCCAGTAGGGAACATGCAGAAAGCAGCTGGTCAATGATTCTCTCTCCTCATTGATGTGTGGTGAGGGGAGCCTGGAACTCCAAGTCTTGCAGAGTGGCTCAGGTTGGGCAAACTTAAACCTGTTTCTGTTCAAGGTATCTCCAGTGAGCGACTTGAAAACTCTCTTTGTTAGTCTTCCAAGTGTCTCGGTGACTACTATTTAGTCAGATGTCCATGCAAATATCTTAAGCACAAATGTTCTCAGAGGTGCTACAGTCTAAACTAGTGGTTCTCAACCTTTTTTTTTTGGCCATGCTCCACCTAATAAAATCCTGATATTCCCCCCTGTGACATATAATTCTTATTATTCAAAAAGTGAGCTCCTCTTCATGTGGAGGAAGCCTAAAAGGCCAGTAACTTGGTCTAAACAAGCTTCCAAAGAACATGGCATCCATGAAAGAGAAAAATAAAAGAACAAAAGGACAGGTGAAGTACTGAGGAAGAAATCACTAAGAAATTGTTAAAATAATAATAATATGAAGTGATATGAAAAAATAGCAAATAAAGTTTCAAAACATAATAGAGAACTGAAATGCATAAATATGTCACAAAATACATTTATATACTGTATATGAGGCCCCTAGGACCATAAGAAATGCAAAATATTCACTGTTAATAACTCATTCTCAAATTGCCCCCCTTAAAAATCAAATTGCCCCCCGCCCCCTGTGGGGTGTGTGCCCCACATTGTGAGCCGCTGTAACCGATCAGGAGAAGATAAATATTTCCTTAACTTCTACATTTGCAAGGTTGCGACTTCACACTCATGGGAGGACTGAGTTCTCAGTCCTCTTCTCTCTTTGGTTGCTTTGTGTCATCAGAGTAGAGAGAGGACCTTTTAGTATAATAAATCTTCAAAGCTATGCTGTAAGAGATGATCAATATTAGCCAGAGATTTGTCTATTGTATAGATGCTAAGAATCTGGAAGACTTAAGCCTAAGGCCAACCCCTATAGATCCATTCTTATGGGTCTCGGCATTGAGAAAGACAAATTAGTTTTCATCCTAGGCTCCTGAGAAAGATGGTCTCGCTAGCTTTGACCTTGAAGGCTCTGATAGGAACCTCAGGCCTGGGATGGGGACAGAAACTCGTGTGTGTGTGTGTGTGTGTGTGTGTGTGTGTGTGTGTATGTTACAGAACAGACAGGAAAGGAAAGAGGAAGGTAGACCAGAAAAAGGGCCCCCCAGGCACCCATCTCTGTTTGGACCAAAGCGAAAAACCACACGTTAATCTTTAGCAGCGGTTCTCAACCTGTGGGTCACGACCCCTTTGGCGGTCGAAAGACCCTTTCACAGGGGTCGCCTAAGACCATTCTGCATATCGGATATTTACATTACAATTCATAACAGTAGCAACATTACAGTTATGAAGTAGCAACGAAAATAATTTTATGGTTGGGTCACAACATGAGGAACT